TCAGTGTTTATACTACATTTTTAAAGATTTGCCTTGAAACAGTCTTTAAACCTCTTTTGTTGACCACCAGCATTATGCTTTCCATTTTTAAGTTCGGAATAGAGTAGTTGCTTTGGAAGACAATAATCAGGAATCCACACAACAGGAGCAGTCCAACGAAGTTGATGTTGAAGAATCACCGTTTCGACACTGGTGATCTTTGCTTCTTCCAGTACACTGGCATTAGTTCGCCTGTCTTCCCAAGTGATGTGAAAAATTTTTCAGAGACACCGTTGATGGAAACTTTCAAGAAGTTGGAGATGGCGTTTATAAGTGGTCCATGTTTCATAAGCATACAGTAAGGTTGGTAGTACAATAGCTTTGTCAACAAGCATTTTGGTTTCCCTGAGAATGTCCCAGTCCTCAAACACTCTGCACTTGAATCAGGAGGAAGCTGAACTTTCAGAGCTCAGGCAATGCTGGTTTTCGGCATCAATGTTGGCCCTTGTGGAAAGATAACTGCCCAGGTAGGAGAAGTGATTGACATTTTCCAAAGTCACAGAGAGCAGTCGAGAATCAGAGACAAAAGTAGAGGGGGGCTAAAAGTCAAAGATAATGCAGGCTGGTGAGGAAGCCAGGTTGTCTCCCCCTCCTGCTGTGAACAGCTTCACACACACACACACACACACACGGTCTCCCAGGACCAGAAGAGATATGAAGAAGACAAACAAGGTGACAAAGTCTCAGATTGCTTAGGAAGGACCTGGGGTAGGAGGAGACTTTGGGAAATGTGGCATAAATTCAGATTTGTCAGACAAGCCTGAGTATTCACCACACAGCATCATGCAATTAAAAATAGAAATTTACACCTCAGACAAAAGCAGCCATCCCAAAATTTCTAATGTAAAGTTTGAAGTTTTGAGGTCCTATGTGGAATATCAATTTGCAGAGACAATTTAGATTAATAATAATAATTTTATTATTTATATGCCGCCCATCTGACTGGGTCTCCCCAGCCACTCCAAATATTAAAAACACAATAAAACAGCAAACATTAAAAACTTACATTGACATCTCCTTGACATCTGATTGGAGGACATTTCCACAGGGTGGACCCCACTACTGAGAAGGCCCTCTGCCTGGTTTCATCTTATTATTTAGGCTTCATCTTTTAACCACATATTTTAAAAACATTTAACATGCACTTTACGAAAAGGCACCTACACAGAAAAGGGACAACAGGGCAGTCTGGTCTTGAAAGTCTAGGGGGAAGTACTGAAGAGATCTGGTGTGAAACTAAAGGAGTTTTAAGACAGAGATTGTAAGTGGGTCCTGGGATAGAAAGAAGTGACCATCCGACTGTCTCAGGAATGACACATAATTTACAAAGGAGAGGTATAATTTGCTGGATGTGTTCTTCTGCTCTGCAGGTATTTTCCATTAGTTGCTTGTGCTGCTATGCTTAAATAAAGTGATTTGTGAACTTCTAGAACAAGAAGGTGTGGTTGCTCCCAGTTTGACTGTGGCTGCTGTGATAGCTTTCCGAAGGAAAGGACAATGGTGTCCACTCTGCAAAAAACAGCTTCTGCACTACGGTAACGTTGACCAGTTCCTAGGCAGCTTATCATTGTGAAGCACCTTTGATGTGACAGTCACCACTGGTGTGTTGACTTTGGGAACAGCTGGCAGATATGTCCTTAGGTAGATGGTAGAACTTACTGCAGAAGACGCAAGTAGCTTTTTGAAAGTTTATGCCATCCGTTGCATAGCAACTTGTGGAAGCATGCCAGAAACAGAGGTGTTGTGGAAGGAGGTGCTGCCGAATAAAGTAGATGCTATCTTTGCCAGCTGGGTGCTGACTGTGTAGCTTCTTTCTTTGCCAGCCAGATTAATCCAGCCAGAGATTTTCCACAACCCAGCAAGAAGCTTGGGAAGGTCTGCCCCAGAGTAGTTCTTCCATGACCTCCTACTCCCCTGAACGCTCCTCTTCCTTTCTGGGATCCAAGCACAGCTGGAACTGAGGAAAAGTTTAAAAGGTGTTGGATCTTCCCCAGGTTTTTCCTTTTTCCTGAGCATGTTCATCAGGATCCCTGCCTTATGAGGAGGCTTTTGTGGGTTTTCAGGGTTCCTCTGTTTTCTGGGCAAGTTAAAAGGTACACAGGACAGTTCTGTTGGATAATGCAAGCTCTGTGCTCACAGCATGGTCCAGAGTCCTGGAATTTCTTTGGTTTACTGCTGGTTGCCCCATGATGGTGTCTGTTACTGGAACCTGATTTAGAATTGCTGAGTTCTTTTTTATTATTATTGATTTTAACATATAAATTATAAAATGTACCACAAAACTTATCACTTATACAGTCTTTTTAGACTTCCATCAGCACCTCTGATGATCCACCGTTTTAACCACTTCTTATGCATTTCTTAACTTTATATTGCGTTTACATCTCTTAACAAATCATCCTTCCCCTTATCCATTTTTGCAATACTCCAATAATACTCCTCACAAAACTTCTTGCAAACCTACGTCATCTGATCTTCACAAATACTTTTCAAATAGTCTGTAAATTTACTCCAGTTTTCCGTGAATTTCTGGTCCCGCCGGTTTCGAATCCTTCCTCTTAGTTTATCTAGTTCTGCATAGTCCATTAACTTCATCCTCCATTCTTCCATCGTCGGTAATTCTTCTTGCTTCCATTTTTGGGCCAGTAATATTCTTGCTGCTGTTATTGCATATAAAATGAGCTTACATTCCTTTCTATTTATATCACTCCCCACAATGCCCAGTAAAAATGCTTCTGGTTTCTTTATGAATGTTTATTTCAACATTTTTTTCATCTCATTATATATCATCTCCCAGGAGCATTTCACCACAAGATTGCTGAGTTCTAACCACCTGTTTGATGCCTACAGGGTGAGCAGTTTTCGGGTAACTCCTGCTCCCACTCCTAGAACAGCCTTCTGTTAGGGGATTTAACTCATATTCCCTTCATTTTGTCTTCAGGTGTAGTATTTGTTTGAGCTGATATGAGGGAAGCACTTGTCCATTGGCAGCTTCCAGCCCTCATGTTCTTTTAGTCACTCTGCTGGTCTCGGTTGAGAGGGTCGACTGTGGCATGGGGTGGCTGGAGGTAGATGTTGGAGGTGAGCCCTTTTGGAGCTTGTCTCTGGCAAAGAAGGCATGAAGTCCTTTGGGGAGTGAGGGAGAAAGCCCTTCCACATCCAGTTTTATTTCATAAGATTGCTCTCCTGATCACAGGCAAATGGCCTTTCTCCCATGCTAGTTGCCCTCCTACAATGGAAGGGAAAGCTACCTCTGAAATCAAACTTCTACATCCAGCTTTTGAAAATTGCTCGTAGAAAACGTAGAAAAGAAACAAGAAAAGTGGTTTGAGGCTATGTTGAGATGACTGTTCTGTGGAAGCAGGCAGAAATTCTATGTCAGTCAGAGCATAATGGAACTCCACTGCGTTGGGGCACCATGCAATCTAGACTGGAATATAGAATTTGTGCAAATACTTTGTTTTTCAAGAGATAGAAAATAAAACAAATCCCAATTCCGCTATATAAACTGAAAGTGAATTCTGATTCCATCTCTGTGGTCTAAGACCAATTACAGTTCTATCCATGTTCTTCATAATGTCAGGGATGTTGTGGGAACCCAAAGGGGAAGGTTGGTTCAGGTATGGAACACTTTTGCACTCAAGGAAAGGTTAAAGTTTATTATGGTTGCATAGCCAAGGACACGTCCACAAGTCGGATGTGAATATGAACATGGGTTGCTGTTTCTGCACTTTTGTCTGCCTTGGTTCACACATAAGCACTTTCCATTTTATGCCTCCAAAATTTATCTCATTGTTTCCGATCCACACTAGTGGATGGTACTTGATGTGAAGCTTTCTTTCCCTCAATTAGTGCTTCCCCATCCTCAATGAATTCTGGAAGAAGAGTTTGGATTTGACATCCCGCTTTATCACTACCCAAAGGAGTCTCAAAGCATCTAACATTCTCCTTTCCCTTCCTGCCCCACAACAAACACTCTGTGAGGTGAATGGGGCTGAGAGACTTCAGAGAAGTGTGACTGGCCCAAGGTCACCCAGCAGCTGCATGTGGAGGAGCGGGGAATCAAACCCAGTTCGCCAGATTACGAGTCCACCGCTCTTAACCACTACACCACACTGGCTCTGGAAGCTTGAGGCTCCTTGTTGGCATGCGCAGATATTTATTCATCTGTGCATATGCTCCTTGTTTTTTCTCTCTAAAGAGTCTAAAAAATATGTACAAAGTAAAGTTTAAAAAATGGTCATTTTTAAACAGCAAGTTGAAAATAAAATGTGCATGTGTGTGTCAGAGAGCAAAGAATAGCCAGGCATCAAGATATGAGCGGCACTGATTCACTCAGAAAGGAAAGATCAGAGAACCGATTGGGTGGAGGCAATCCAGTTGGGTGTTTTCTGAAGTTCCCTCCTTCCCAAGGCTTTCCCATTCTTACAGCTGTTTATTCCTAAGTACATTCCATTGAAGTGAGGCTTAACTATTTTGAAGCAAGGGCTGCCTTTACCATTGCAGCCCGATCTTCTCCAGCCGGCTGTTGACCTTGAAAGCTGTTGAGGGCATGGTGACAAACGGCAAACACCACCAGAACCCACCTACCCAATTTTATGTTGAATTAACTTTGCTTCACAAATTTTCCTTGGGTGGAGTTTACTGTGGGAAAAGTGGGGGCTGCCAGTCGAATGAGGAGGATGCCATGTGGACAATACCAAAAATATTGAGACACAAGCAACTGCAAATCTGTGAAGAAGCAATCTAACTTAAAACACAGTGAATTAGGGTCTCTTCATACACATTCCCACCCACTCCTGGAGTGAGATCAACTTCCTCAAGATGCAATCCCGTGCTTCTGAGGAAAACACCAGCAGCTCTGTTGCAGGACCAATCAAACCAGGTTCCCCCTCCACTGCAATCTGATCAACAGGTAGAGAGTGAAGTGCTAAAAATAAATTAAACCCTATGTATCTCACCTGCGGATGCCGGTCTTTATGATTTGTCAGCCCTAAGTTTCCTTTCTTGAATTTGTGTGTCAGGGATGTGTTTTCTTGGGGAATTAAATGAGGTACCTCCCGTTGTCTTTGGATCACGGCTTTGGGATCAGGTAGAGTCTGTAACAGCAAAGCAAGGAATTATGAGCAGCTTCCCATGGTGCACATTCTAAACCCTGAAAAGGTAACTTTGAACATTTCCTGGTCAAATGCTTTTGAATTATGGTGCTTATGGTGCTGTAGGAGACTCTTGAGAGTCCCATGGACGGCAAGAAGATCAAACCTATCCATTCTGAAGGAAATCAGCCCTGAGTGCTCCCTGGAAGGACAAATCGTGAAGCTGAGGCTCCATTACTTTGGCCACCTCATGAGAAGAGAAGACGCCCTGGAAAAGACCCTGATGTTGGGAAAGATGGAGGGCACAAGGAGAAGGGGACGACAGAGGACGAGATGGTTGGACAGTGTTCTCAAAGCTACCAGCATGAGTTTGACCAAACTGCAGGAGGCAGTGGAAGACAGGAGTGCCTGGCATGCTCTGGTCCATGGGGTCACGAAGAGTCGGACATGACTAAACGACTAAACAACAACAACAAGACATAAACAAGTCTTGGGGAAATGTGCCCATTTCAACAGTGGGAGAGAGAGTATGTGAGCAACAAAGAGGGAGGGAAGGAAGGAGACAGGGCAGGTGAACAGGTTTGGTAGTCATCTTCCCTGCCTCACAAACGTCTTATTAATTGTAGTCTTCCCTCCTGCCAAGCGGCAGAATCGTGGGGAGTGGGAGAGAAGATGTGGCTGAGCCTGTTTTCCCTTGCTGCTCAGCTCTAAGGAGGGAAATGAATACAGGCAAATATTGTTTTGCAGGGCAGGAGGGTCCTGTTCTGGACCCCTGTTCATGTCAGCAGAAGAGCATGTAAACCCAACCTGCCCCACTCCTTTGGCATGATGGGGGCGTGTGGACAATCACACGTCATTCAGACAGGCCTAAACCAGGAGCTGCCTGTACAAGAATATAGGAGGAGGGCTCTTCATTGGCCGAAGGAAGGGAGTATAACTGCAGATCATACTAATCTCTTTCTCCAGTCACACACACACACACACACACCCCGCATTCTTAGCTGTTTGACCACTCAGGGTGGTCAGCAAACTTTTTCAGCAGGGGGCCGGTCCACCGTCCCTCAGACCTTGTGGGGGGCCGGACTATATTTTGAAAAGAAAAAAAATGAACGAATTCTTATGCCCCACAAATAACCCAGAGGTGCATTTTAAATAAAAGCACACATTCTACTCATGTAAAAACACACTGATTCCTGGACCGTCCACGGGCCGGATTTAGAAGGCAATTGGGCCGGATCCAGCCCCCGGGCCTTAGTGTGACTACCCATGGCTTAGTTCTATGAATAAATACAGTGGTGCCCCGCAAGACAAATGCCTCGCAAGACGAAAAACCCGCTAGACGAAAGGGTGTTCCGTTTTTCAATGCGCTTCGCAAGACGAATTTCCCTATGGGCTTGCTTCGCAAGACGAAAACGTCTTGCGAGTCTTGCGATTTTTTTCGCTCCCCCCCCCCTTTTTCTAAGCCACTAAGCCGCTAATAGCCTTTTAGCCGCTAAGCCGCTAAACCTTTAATAGCCGCTAAGCCGCTAATAGGGTTGCTTCGCAAGACGAAAAAACCGCTAGACGAAGAGACTCGCGGAATGGATTATTTTCATCTTGCGAGGCACCACTGTAGTTGGCAGTGATACAGACCCCTGAACCCCCAATCTATTCATACACACACCCTCACACGTCACCTCCACCTTTCTGTTCATACAACTGAACACCCTACTAATCCATTCACTGGGTGTGATGCGTTTGAAAGGGAAGATATTGTTATGATTATTAATACCACACATTTTCACCCGATGGGACTCAAGGAGGCTTACGGATAAAAAACTAGAGCCACTAAAACACAGAGAAATCAATCATTAAAAATCAACATTCACACACACACACACACACACACACACGTATTTCAACTTGCGTTGAAATTTGCATTATTTGTAGCTATGAAGACGTGCAACATACAGTTTAGCAAATGAATTGTTCACGTATGCAATGGATCATTATAAATAATTATAAATTGACTGCTTACCAAAGGTAATTGGGCATAAGCTGCTTCACTTGATGCTTGATCTATCTTTGTCTTGCTTCCTGTGTGGCATATGTCTCCCTTAGGAGTCTTCCCTATTTAGAAAAATATAAGTTAGGAGTATTTCTACACAGGAGGCATATCTAAGTTTTACTGGGCCTGTCACTTAAAGATAAAACTCAGTGTGTTCAATGAAACTTACTCCTAGGCAAGTATCCACAGGTTTGCAGAACATTGTAACTGCCAAAGCATTCCCTAAAACAGGAAGAGTCAAACTTTGCAATCTTGAGAGATTTTAGTCTCCAGATAGTGACCCAGGGGCCAGACGTGTACTGTTGCGAGTTTGTGTGGGGGGTTCGGGATCCAGGGAGCAAGTGACCCAGGAGCTCAGCTGCAAGGCACCTAGATGGCAGGTTATCCCACACTAGGTCCTGTATACCAGAAGGAGCGTCTCCACCCCCATCGTTCAGCCCGGACACTGAGATCCAGCGCCGAGGGCCTTCTGGCGGTTCCCTCATTGCGAGAAGTGAGGCTGCAGGGAACCAGAGAGAGGGCCTTCTCGGTAGTGGCGCCCGCCCTGTGGAACGCCCTCCCATCAGATGTCAAAGAGATAAACAACTACCTGACATTCAGAAGACATCTTAAGGCAGCCCTGTTCAGGGAAGTTTTTAATATTTAACGCTGTACTGTTTTAAACACTTGATTGGGAGCCGCCCAAAGTGGTTGGGGAAACACAGCCAGATGGGCGGGGTATAAATAATAAATTATTATTATTATTATTATTATTATTATTATTATTATTATTGGAACTTAGGTAAAGGCAAACCCTAGGCTCTGTGGTTCAGACCACAGCGCTACCCGATTCCCATACTAGGTGTTAAGTTGTGGGAGAACATATCAGACGACACAGCAATTCTTCAACAGCTCTTGTTTATTCACAGGCCAGAACAGAACTGAACTGAAAGGTTCAGCCAGCCTGCTTATATAGAGCTCCACTACAACGCAACTGTAACACTTTCTGTAACTATCCAATCACTGAACGTCACTTTCAATCCCTTATTTGCATATGTGGACCTGAGTGAAAACTATCTACAGCATCCCCCTGCTGGCCCAGGGTGAGAACTTCAGTACATAACACTAGGAACTTAGGTTGGGTTTTAAAAAAATAAAGAAAGAAAGATGGGAATCTATGCATTATGGTTTATGGTGGGGGGGCAACTGCAGGTGAGACAGGCACCCATGAAAACAACTTAAGGCTGCAATTCTAAATCTTATTAACACAATCTAAGTACACTTGTCCATGGAGTTTTCTTGGCAGGAATACTGGAGTGGCTTGCCAGTTCCTACTCCAGGTGGATCACGTTTGGTCAAAACTCTCCACTATGACCTGTCCATCTTGGGTGGCCCTGCACGGCATAGCTCATAGCTTCTCTGAGTTATTCAAGCCCCTTCGCCACGGCAAGGCAGTGATCCATGAAGGATTTGGCCACCTCATGAGAAGAGAAGACTCCCTGGAAAAGACCCTGATGTTGGGAAAGATGGAGGGCACAAGGAGAAGGGGACGACAGAGGATGAGATGGTTGGATAGTGTTCTCGAAGCTACAAACATGAGCCTGACCAAACTGCGGGAGGCGGTGGAAGACAGGAGTGCCTGGCGTGCTCTGGTCCATGGGGTCACGAAGAGTCGGACACGACTAAAAAACTAAACAAAGTACACTTACCTGGCAGTCAGTCATACTGAACTCACTGTATTGCACTGCTAGATAAAAGCTGCAGTTGCATGGCAAGACCCCAACCCGCCCCCTTAGTTGGAATAAAGACACTTGATACAGTACCAGTATTTTAGGTTAATAGGCTAAAAAACGTCACAACTGCATTGGTTACAGAATGTGAGTGGTATTGGCTTAGGAATTGGAACCAACTATATCTGACTCCTGCCCGCCTGCAGGAGTCTTGGAAGGGTTAACCACCAGTAGGGGGAGCCCTGCTGATGCACATCAACTAGAAACTCCCCCAGGGTCACTGCTAGGGATCATGTCATGGCCCTAGCCCCCGCCTGGACTTCAGACAGGATCACGCCCCCGGATTCCTTTAACGAAATACCCTTGAACTAGGAGGGGTAGGTGATGGCCTTGACCTCCCCTCACCTCCAATCTAATACTCCAATGCCCAACCACCACCCGAGCCAAACTGCACGAGCAGGAATCAGAAAAAAGGGGCGAGTTACCGCCCACGGGCTGCTAAATAGAACACGCCACGCCCCCTGGCCGCCCGGATTGGTCAGTCTGGGGCGTGACGCGGAGAGGACTCCCTATGACGTGGGGGGCTAGCCACACCCCCACGCACAGGGCGGGCTCGTGTCCAGCCCGCAACTCCATTTCCCTGGGAAGGGTAATGGCTTTCTCTTCCATTTGGAAGACATCTGAAGGCAGCCCTGTTTAGGGAAGTTTTTAGTGTTTGAAGTTTTGTTCTGTTTTTAATGTTCTGTTGGAAGCCGCCCAGAGTGGCTGGGGAAACCCAACCAGATGGGCAGGGTAGAAATAAATAATTATTATTATTATTATTATTATTATTATTATTATTATTATTATTATTATTATTATTTCCTTATGAGGTAGTTTGTCATCTCAGGTGTGAGGTCCATCTGGTAAGTTTTACTTAAAACTTCAAGTTTCAGGGGGATACTGTAGATAGTTCAGGTCCACATATGCAAATAAGGGATCGAAAGTGACGTTCAGTGATTGGATAGTTACAGAAAATGGTTACTGTTGCGTTCTAGTGGAGTTCTATATAAGCAGGCTGGCTGAACCCTTCAGTTCAGTTCAGTTCTGGCCTGTGAATAAACAAGAGCTGTTTGAAGAATCGCTGTGTCGTCTGATATGTTCACCCACAACTTAACAGATGCCTCATAGACATATGAAGATTACACCAACCAGCTCTTCAATAGGATGCAAATTCTGGCCTCACTCTCACATGCATTGGTCTACTTCCCAGAGATCCAGCTGAATCCTATATGCTATGTTTGTTGAGTTCTGTCAAGCGTGCAGTGAGCAGATTCACAGGAACCTTTGCGGTTTTTCTGATGTTTACCTAAACATCAGACAAAAGCTCCTACGGAGGACAACTTTCATTTCAAAACAGAAGAGGCTTACAACCTAAGCTTTGCTTACCACAGGGATCGGGCTGGCCTGATCCAATTCTAATTTTTTCTCCATCTTGCTTTGAGCTGTGAACAACAGCACTCCGTTCCCTTTCCTGTAAGAAAGAACAGGGAGAGGAATGTATAACGAAGCCAGACATTTCCTGTATACTTGAATGTTCTCCAGTGGAAAAGTAACAGATTATCAGGCAAAAGCACTGGTGCAACAGTATTTATTTTGCTAATTAGCACAGGTAAACCCTATTCTAAGGGATGCGGGTGCTCCTGTGGGATAAACCACAGAGCCTAGGGCTTGCCGATCAGAAGGTTGGCGGTTCGAATCCCCGTGACGGGGTGAGCTCCCGTTGCTCAGTCCCTGCTCCTGCCAACCTAGCAGTTTGAAAGCACGTCAAAGTGCAAGTAGATAAATAGGTTCCGCTCCAGCGGGTAGGTAAACGGCGTTTTGTGCGCTGCTCTGGTTCACCGGAAGCGGCTTAGTCCTGCTGGCCACATGACCCAGAAGCTGTCTGCGGACAAACGCCAGCTCCCTCAGCCAATAAAGCGAGATGAGCGCCGCAACCCCAGAGTCGGTCACGACTGGACCTAATGGTCAGGGGTCCCTTTACCTTCACCTTAGACCCTATTCTAGCTCCAAACAGCCTGAGAGCAACATGTACAATCATACGACTGGAAGGGACCTCAAAGGTCCTATAGTCTAGCTCCCCGCCAGTGTAAGAAACCCACTGATAGGTGGCCATCCAGCCTCTGCTTAAAAGCTTGCAATGGAGGAGAGTCTTTCTGAGGTAGCCTGTTCTATTGTCAAACCACTCACACGGCTAGGAAGTTATTTCCAATGTTTAATTGACCTTTCTTCTTGTAACTTGAACCTGAGAAGTGGTGATTAACTCTTTCCGCACACTTTAGGTCCTAAGGAAAGAGCTGCGTTACCATAGTACAGTGGTACCTCAGGTTACATACGCTTCAGGTTACAGACTCCACTAACCCAGAAATATTACCTCGGGTTAAGAACTTTGCTTCAGGATGAGAACAGAAATCGTGCAGCGGTGGTGCAGCAGCAGTGGGAGGCCCCATTAGCTAAAGTGGTACCTCAGGTTAAGAACAGTTTCAGGTTAAGAACGGACCTCCGGAACAAATTAAGTTCTTAACCCGAGGTACCACTGAACTAGTATTGGAAAGGCAGGGAGTCCTTGCCTCGTAGCCAGGTGGTGGCAAGTCTAATGAGATGCATTTTTTATTCTGTGAGTTGGGGTATTGGGATGCCCTGTCACCTGGAATTCACCTTAGCACATTTCCTGGCACCCTTACAGCTCATGAGGCACAGCTGTCAACTTTCAGATTTGAAAATAAGGGATCAGCAGCCTCGAAAATAAGGGATCAGCAGCATAGCTGTCAACTTTCAGATTTGAAAATAAGGCATCAGCAGCTTCACCTGTCCCAGAGACAGTCTACAGGATATCTAACAATCCAGGATAGCAACAGGAAGCAGCAGGAAACGGCGCTGAAATAAGGGAATTTCCCGCAAAAAAGGGGAAGGTTTACAGCTATGTCATGAGGACTAGAAACAAATTTTGAAAAAGAAGTAGGCAATTTTGGAAAAGGGGTAGGCAACCTAAGGCCCGTGGGCAGGATGCAGCCCAATCGCCTTCTAAATCCAGCCCACGGACAGCGTGTTTTTACATGAGTAGAATGTGTTGTTTTATTTAAAATGCATTTCTGGGTTATTTGTGGGGCATAGGAATTCATTCATTTCCCCAAAAAATATAGTCCGGCCCCCCACAAGGTCTGAGGGACAGTGGACCGGTCCCCTGCTGAAAAAGTTTGCTGAGGCTGAGGATCCATAATCCTGTGTTATATATCGTGCTAAATGGGGGAACGGGACACGGGTGGCACTGTGGGTTAAACCACAGAGCCTAGGACTTGCTGATCAGAAGGTCGGTGGTTTGAATCCCCGCGATGGGGTGAGCTCCCGTTGCTCGGTCCCTGCTCCTGCCCACCTAGCAGTTCGAAAGCACGTCAAAGTGCAAGTAGATAAATAGGTACCGCTCTGGCGGGAAGGTAAACGGCGTTTCCGTGCACTGCTCTGGTTCGCCAGAAGCGGCTTCGTCATGCTGGCCACATGACCCAGAAGCTGTACGCCGGCTCCCTCGGCCAATAAAGCGAGATGAGCACCGTAACCCCAGAGTCGGTCACGACTGGATGTAATGGTCAGGGGTCCCTTTACCTTTAAATGGGGAAAATAAAAGGTATACAACTGCTGCAACATTAGTTTTACTCACTTTTTGGTAGGCATTTGTTTTTTCTCCAGGCTTCAGTATAACAGGGAGCGCACTTGATCTGCCTTTTCTTATTTTTTCAGCCTTGGTGACAATCTTCTTCCTAAAGAGTAAACACAGAGAAAATTAATAATGCAAACATTGTAGGAACAACATTATTCTAGATTTAGAAATATAAGCTGAAATAGTTTGGGGAAATAATTTGTACTGTACCATGCTTAGAAGAGTTGTTTTTTTATTGTAGAAAGGATAATATATATTAAAAGTAAAATAAGATAAGAATCAGTAGCCATGTAGCCAGCTAGGACAATAAAAGTTTAAGTAAAAGGAAAGAATACTGTGCAGGAACATAGGTTATATAATCTGGGGCATGTCAGGAAATAAGGATGGGGGGGGGGGAAAGGATTAGTTGAACTTGCACATTTTCACTGATGTTTTGTTCTTTTTAGTAAGCAGCTTGTTAAGTTGTGGGTGAACATATCAGACGACACAGCGATTCTTCAAACAGCTCTTGTTTATTCACAGGCCAGAACAGAACTGAACCCCCTCCTTGAAGTCCAGTTTCCTTTTCAACGCTTTCAGCTGTTCTCCAGTCAGCTGAGCAGCACAAGAGACATCACAGGGAGCGGTAAGCTCTATACTTTCCCTCTCATAAGCCTTATGGGAATTGCCACCCCATGCCACTCTTAATCCTGGCGCCAATTGTCACAGGAATCACATGGGAGGAATGAGTTAAACTGCTGATGAAAGGTAACTCAGCAGGGAAAAGAGGACTGTGAATGTGAAGGACTTCTGGTCTCAGCCGCTACCAATCTGGGAAGTCCTCCTGAAGCGGTTTTGCATGCCTTTGCCTTACCCTGGCCAGTTTGAAATATTCTCAGTTCTACTAAGTCTATTACTGTGTCTATGTTACCATTGCTTATAATAGGATGTTAACGAATGAATCTATAGAGTTTTGCCCATTTTAAAATTCCTGTTCTGGAATGAAAGTTTGTGAAAGCCGCACAAAATGGATGGTGTAGGAGAAAGTATGCCATCGTTCCCTGCCCCAGCCAGTAACCTAGACGCAATGAATGAATTTTCCTACCCTTCGGACAGAACTGGCTGAGATGTTATGAGCTGAGGAACTAAGCATTCATCTTGTTTTCCGAACATTCCTCCATTGACCTTAACACAGAGAGAAAAGTCTTCCATGAGATTTCCAACGAATCACCAGTTTCCCACACTGGGAGCCCAGAGAGACTCAGGTTGCACCGGAGTAGGGCAAGCAACGGTTCTCGGGGCGCCAGTCCTTGTCTTGATAGTCGCCTGTCTCCAACCTTGTACTCAGCAGCTTCTTTGCTTGTTTTGCTCAATGAAGTGATAGCTTCCTTTTTCCTGTGGCATTCCCCACTACGCTCTAGAGCTCATCCCAAGAATGGCAAACGTCAACGAGGCACCAGAATGCCAGCTACCAAGTGAACTCGGCACGTACGCCAGATCAAAGTAGCGGCATCCTAATGTAACCTTTCGGTTTTGCCAATTTTTCTTTTCCCCCACCCCCCCCAGTATTTATAGCCTCCAGAGAGAACAGTGGGATAAGAGGGTACATGACAGACCAGTAGAAATTTTACAGTGTCTGTGATGTAACAGTGTCACGCATGTAAGGTTGGAATTCCTGAAGATACGGTGATCAAGCTTCACGAAACTGCCTAGGTGTTATCAACATTTAAGACATATGGCAGGGCAGGAAGAGGGCCTTTTCAGTAGTAGCACACCTGAGCACCTTCCTGGGGCTGTTTGCCTGGCATCATCTGGGTGTCTCCTGGGTGCCAAGTGAAGATCTTTTCATTCATTAATAATAATAATAATTTATTATTTATACCCCCACCCATCTGGCTGAGTCTCCCCAGCCACTCTGGGCGGCTTCCAAACAAGTGTTAAAAACAAGACAGGCATCAAATATTAAAAACTTCCCTAAACAGGGCTGCCTTCAGATGTCTTTTAAAGAGAAGATAGCTGCTTATTTCCTTCACATCTGAAGGGAGGGCGTTCCACAGGGCAGGCGCCACTACCAAGAAGGCCCTCTGTCTGGTTCCCTGTAACCTCACTTCTCACAGTGAGGGAACCACCAGAAGGCCCTTGGAGATGGATCTCAATGTCTGGGCTGAATGATGGGGGTGGAGACGCTCCTTCAGGTATACAGGACCGAGGTACTGGGAGCCAATGCAGATCTCTCAGGACCGCAAAGAATAAACAACTACCTGACATTCAAGACATCTAGGCAGCCCTGTTCAGGGAAGTTTTTAATATTTAACGCTTACTGTTTTAAACACTTGATTGGGAGCCGCCCCAAAGTGGTTGGGGAAACACAGCCAGATGGGCGGGGTATAAATATAAATTATTATTATTATTATTATTATATATATTATTATTATATTGGAACTTAGGTAAAGGCAAACCCTAGGCCTCTGTGGTTCAGACCCACAGCGCTACCCGATTCCCATACTAGGTGTTAAGTTGTGGGAGAACATATCAGACGACACAGGCAATTCTTCAACAGCTCTTGTTTATTCACAGGCCAGAACAGAACTGAACTGAAAGGTTCAGCAGCCTGCTTATATAGAGCTCCACTACAACGCAACTGTAACACTTTCTGTAACTATCCAACACTGAACGTCACTTTCAATCCCTTATTTGCATATGTGGACCTGAGTGAAAACTATCTACAGCATCCCCTGCTGGCCCAGGGTGAGAACTTCATACATAACACTAGGAACTTAGGTTGGGTTTTAAAAAAATAAAGAAAAGAAAGATGGGGGAATCTATGCATTATGGTTATTGGTGGGGGGCACTGCAGGTGAGACAGGCACCCATGAAAACAACTTAAGGCTGCAATTCTAATCTTATTAACACAATCTAAGTACACTTGTCCATGGAGTTTTCTTGGCAGGAATACTGGAGTGGCTTGCCAGTTCCTACTCCAGGTGGATCACGTTTGGCAAAACTCTCCACTATGACCTGTCCATCGGTGGGCCCTGCACGGCATAGCTCATAGCTTCTCTGAGTTATTCAAGCCCCTTCGCCACGGCAAGGCAGTGATCCATGAAGGATTTGGCCACCTCATGAGAAGAGAGGACTCCCTGGAAAAGACCCTGATGTTGGGAAAGATGGAGGGCACAAGGAGAAGGGGACGACAGAGGATGAGATGGTTGGATAGTGTTCTCGAAAGCTACAAACATGAGCCTGACCAAACTGCGGAGGCGGTGGAAGACAGGAGTGCCTGGCGTGCTCTGGTCCATGGGGGCACGAAAGAGTCGGAACGACTAAAAAAAACTAAACAAAGTACACTTACCTGGCAGTCAGTCATACTGAACTCACTGTATTGCACTGCTAGATAAAAGCGCAGTTGCATGGCAAGACCCCAACCCGCCCCCTTAGTTGGAATAAAGACACTTGTACAGTACCAGTATTTTAGGTTATAGGCTAAAAAACGTCGCAACTGCATTGGTTACAGAATGTGAGTGGTATTGGCTTAGGAATTGGAACCAACTATATCTGACTCCTGCCCGCCTGCAGGAGTCTTGGAAGGGTTAACCACCAGTAGGGGAGCCCTGCTGATGCACATCAACTAGAAACTCCCCAGGGTCACTGCTAGGGATCATGTCATGGCCCTAGCCCCGCCTGGACTTCAGACAGGATCACGCCCCCGGATTCCTTTAACGAAATACCCTTGAACTAGGAGGGGTAGGTGTGGCCTTGACCCCTCCCCTCACTCCAATCTAATACTCCAATGCCACCACCACCCAGCAAACTGCCGAGCAGGAATCAGAAAAAAGGGCGAGTTCCCCACGGGCTGCTAAATAGAACAGCACGCCCCTGGGCCGATTGGTCGTCTGGGGTGAGCGGAGAGGACTCCCTATGACGGGGGCTAGCCACACCCCCACGCACAGGGCGGGCTCGTGTCCAGCCCGCAACATCCTATGGCTTTTCTTCCATTTGGAAGACATCTGAAGGCAGCCCTGTTTAGAGAAGTTTTTAGTGTTTGAAGTTTTGTTCTGTTTTTAATGTTCTGTTGGAAGCCGCCCAGAGTGGCTGTGGGAAACCAACCAGATGGGCAGGGTAGAAATAAATAATTATATTATTATTTATTATTATTATTATTATTATTATTATTATTATTATTAATTATTTCCTTATGAGGTAGTTTGTCATCTCAGGTGTGAGGTCCATCTTGTAAGTTTTACTTAAAACTTCAAGTTTCAGGGGGATACTGTAGATAGTTCGTCCACATATGCAAATAAGGGATCGAAAGTGACGTTCAGTGATTGGATAGTTACAGAAAATGGTTACGTTGCGTTCTAGTGGAGTCTATATAAGCAGGCTGGCTGAACCCTTCAGTTCAGTTTCAGTTCTGGCCTGTGAATAAACAAGAGCGTGTTTGAAGAATCGCTGTGTCGTCTGATATGTTCACCCACAACTTAACAGATGCCTCATAGACATATGAAGATTACACCAACCAGCTCTTCAATAGGATGCAAATTCTGGCCTCACTCTCACATGCATTGGTCTACTTCCCAGAGATCCAGCTGAATCCTATATGCTATGTTTGTTGAGTTCTGTCAAGCGTGCAGTGAGCAGATTCACAGGAACCTTTGCGGTTTTCTGATGTTACCTAAACATCAGACAAAAGCTCCTACGGAGGACAACTTTCATTTCAAAACAGAAGAGGGCTTACAACCTAAGCTTTGCTTACCACAGGGATCGGGCTGCCTGATCCAATCTTAATTTTTTCTCCATCTTGCTTTGAGCTGGGAACAACAGCACTCCGTTCCCTTTCCTGTAAGAAAGAACAGGGAGAGGGAATGTATAACAAAGCCAGAATTTCCTGTATACTTGAATGTTCTCCAGTGGAAAAGTAACAGATTATCAGGCAAAAGCACTGGTGCAACAGTATTTATTTTGCTAATTAGCACAGGTAAACCCTATTCTAAGGGATGCGGTGCTCCTGTGGGATAAACCACAGAGCCTAGCTTGCCGATCAGAAGGTTGGCGGTTCGAATCCCCGTGACGGGGTGAGCCCCGTTGCTCAGTCCCTGCTTCCTGCCAACCTAGCAGTTTGAAAGCACGTCAAAGTGCAAGTAGATAAATAGTTCCGCTCCAGCGGGTAGGTAAACGGCGTTTTGTGCGCTGCTCTGGTTCACCGGGAAGCGGCTTAGTCCTGCTGGCCACATGACCCAGAAGCTGTCTGCGGACAAACGCCAGCTCCCTCGAGCAATAAAGCGAGATGAGCGCCGCAACCCCAGAGTCGGTCACGACTGGACCTAATGGTCAGGGGTCCCTTTACCTTCACCTTAGACCCTATTCTAGCTCCAAACAGCCTGAGAGCAACATGTACAATCATACGACTGGAAGGGACCTCAAAGGTCCTATAGTCTAGCTCCCCGCCAGTGTAAGAAACCCACTGATAGGTGGCCATCAGCGCTCTCGTTAAAAGCTTGCAATGGAGGAGAGTCTTTCTGAGGTAGCCGTTTCTATTGTCAAACCACTCACACGGCTAGGAGTTATTCCAATGTTTAATGACCTTTCTTCTTGTAACTTGAACCTGAGAAGTGGTGATTAACTCTTTCCGCACACTTTAGGTCCTAAGGAAAGAGCTGCGTTACCATAGTACCGTGGTACCTCAGGTTACATACGCTTCAGGTTACAGACTCCACTAACCCAGAAATATTACCTCGGGTTAAGAACTTTGCTCAGGATGAGAACAGAAATCGTGCAGCGGTGGTGCAGCAGCAGTGGGAGGCCCATTAGCTAAAGTGGTACCTCAGGTTAAGAACAGTTTCAGGTTAAGAACGGACCTCCGGAACAAATTAAGTTCTTAACCCGAGGTCCACTGAACTAGTATTGAGAGGCAGGGAGTCCTTGCCTCGTAGCCAGGTGGTGGCAAGTATGAGGCATTTTTATTCTGTGAGTTGGGGTATTGGGATGCCCTGTCACCTGGAATTCACCTTAGCACATTTCCTGGCACCCTTACAGCTCATGAGGCACAGCTGTCAACTTTCAGATTGAAAATAAGGGATCAGCAGCTCGAAAATAAGGGATCAGCAGCATAGCTGTCAACTTTCAGATTTGAAAATAAGGCATCAGCAGCTTCACCTGTCCCAGAGACAGTCTACAGGATATCTAACAATCCAGGATAGCAACAGGAAGCAGCAGGAAACGGCGCTGAAATAAAGGGAATTTCCCGCAAAAAAGGGGAAGGTTTACAGCTATGTCATGAGGACTAGAAACAAATTTTGAAAAAGAAGTAGGCAATTTTGGAAAAGGTAGGCAACCTAAGGCCCGTGGGCAGGATGCAGCCCAATCGCCTTCAAATCAGCCACGGACAGCGTGTTTTTACATAGAGATGTGTTGTTTTATTTAAAATGCATTTCTGGGTTATTTGTGGGGCATAGGAATTCATTCATTTCCCCAAAAAATATAGTCCGGCCCCACAAGGTCTGAGGGACAGTGGACCGGTCCCCTGCTGAAAAAGTTTGCTGAGGCTGAGGATCCATAATCCTGTGTAATATCGTGCTAAAATGGGGGAACGGGACACGGGTGGCACTGTGGGTAAACCACAGAAGCCTAGGACTTGCTGATCAGAAGGTCGGTGGTTTGAATCCCCGCGAGGTGGCGTGTGCCCGTTGCTCGGTGGTGCGCGTGTGCGTGCGTGCGCCGAGCGCGTGAGGCAGTGTGCGAACACGGGTCCTGTATACCTGAAGGAGCGTCTCCACCCCCATCATTCAGCCCAGACATTGAGATCCATCTCCAAGGGCCTTCTGGTGGTTCCCTCACTGCGAGAAGTGAGGTTACAGGGAACCAGACAGAGGGCCTTCTTGGTAGTGGCGCCTGCCCTGTGGAACGCCCTCCCTTCAGATGTGAAGGAAATAAGCAGCTATCTTCTCTTTAAAAGACATCTGAAGGCAGCCCTGTTTAGGGAAGTTTTTAATATTTGATGCTGTCTTGTTTTTAACACTTGTTTGGAAGCCGCCCAGAGTGGCTGGGGAGACTCAGCCAGATGGGCGGGGTATAAATAATAAATTATTATTATTATTAATGAACGAAAAGATCTTCACTTGGCACCCAGAGACACCCAGATGATGCCAGGCAAACAGCCCCAGGAAGGGTGCTCAGGTGTGCTACTACTGAAAAGGCCCTCTTCCTGCCCTGCCATATGTCTAATGTTGATAACACCTAGGCAGTTTCGTGAAGCTTGATCACCGTATCTTCAGGAATTCCAACCTTACATGCGTGACACTGTTACATCACAGACACTGTAAAATTCTACTGGTCTGTCATGTACCCTCTATATCCCACTGTTCTCTCTGGAGGCTATAAATACTGGGGGGGTGGGGGGAAAAGAAAAATTGGCAAAACCGAAAGGTTACATTAGGATGCCGCTACTTTGATCTGTGTACGTGCCGAGTTCACTTGGTAGCTGGCATTCTGGTGCCTCGTTGACGTTTGCCATTCTTGGGATGAGCTCTTGAGCGTAGTGGGAATGCCACAGAAAAAGAAGCTATCACTCATTGAGCAAAACAAGCAAAGAGCTGCTGAGTACAAGTTGGAGACAGGCGACTATCAAGACAGGACTGGCGCCCCGAGAACCGTTGCTTGCCCTACTCCGTGCAACCTGAGTCTCTCTGGGGCTCCCAGTGTGGAAACTGGTGATTCGTTGGAAATCTCATGGAAGACTTTTCTCTCTGTGTTAAGGTCAATGGAGGAATGTTCGGAAAACAAGATGAATGCCTTAGTTCCTCAGCTCATAACATCTCAGCCAGTTCTGTCGAGGTAGGAAAATTCATTCATTGCTTCTAGGGGCAGGGAAACGATGGCATACTTTCTCCTGCACCATCCATTTTGTACGGCTTTCACAAACTTTCATTCCAGAACAGGAATTTTAAAATGGGCAAAACTCTATAGATTCATTCGTTAACATCCTATTATGAGCAATGGTAACACAAACACAGTACAGTGGTACCTCAGGTTAAGTACTTAATTCGTTCCGGAGGTCTACTTAACCTGAAACTGTTCTTAACCTGAAGCACCACTTTAGCTAATGGGGCCTCCTGCTGCCACCGCGCCGCCGGAGCCCGATTTCTGTTCTCATCCTGAAGCAAAGTTCTTAACCTGAAGCACTATTTCTGGGTTCGCTGAGTCTGTAACCTGAAGTGTATGTAACCTGAGGTACCACTGTAATAGACTCCCCCAACATGTTAGAAGAACTGAGAATATTTCAAACTGGCCAGGGTAAGGCAGAGGCATGCAAAATCGCTTCAGGGGGGCTTCCCAGATTGGTAGCGGCTGAGACCAGAAGTCCTTCACATTCACAGTCCTCTTTTCCCTGCTGAGTTACCTTTCATCAGCAGTTTAACTCATTCCTCCCATGTGATTCCTGTGACAATTGGCGCCAGGATTAAGAGTGGCATGGGTGGCAATTCCCATAAGGCTTATGAGAGGGAAAGTATAGAGCTTACCGCTCCCTGTGATGTCTCTTGTGCTGCTCAGCTGACTGGAGAAACAGCTGAAAGCGTTGAAAAGGAAACTGGACTTCAAGGAGGGGGTTCAGTTCTGTTCTGGCCTGTGAATAAACAAGAGCTGTTTGAAGAATCGCTGTGTCGTCTGATATGTTCACCCACAACTTAACAAGCTGCTTACTAAAAAGAACAAAACATCAGTGAAAATGTGCAAGTTCAACTAATCCTTTTCTCCCCCCCCCCATCCTTATTTCCTGACATGCCCCAGATTATATAACCTATGTTCCTGCACAGTATTCTTTCCTTTTACTTAAACTTTTATTGTCCTAGCTGGCTTACATGGCTACTGATTCTTATCTTATTTTACTTTTAATATATATTATCCTTTCTACAATAAAAAAACAACTCTTCTAAGCATGGTACAGTACAAATTATTTCCCCAAACTATTTCAGCTTATATTTCTAAATCTAGAATAATGTTGTTCCTACAATGTTTGCATTATTTAATTTTCTCTGTGTTTACTCTTTAGGAAGAAGATTGTCACCAAGGCTGAAAAAATAAGAAAAGGCAGATCAAGTGCGCTCCCTGTTATACTGAAGCCTGGAGAAAAAACAAATGCCTACCAAAAAGTGAGTAAAACTAATGTTGCAGCAGTTGTATACCTTTTATTTTCCCCATTTAAAGGTAAAGGGGACCCCTGACCATTACATCCAGTCGTGACCGACTCTGGGGTTACGGTGCTCATCTCGCTTTATTGGCCGAGGGAGCCGGCGTACAGCTTCTGGGTCATGTGGCCAGCATGACGAAGCCGGCTTCTGGCGAACCAGAGCAGTGCACGGAAACGCCGTTTACCTTCCCGCCAGAGCGGTACCTATTTATCTACTTGCACTTTGACGTGCTTTCGAACTGCTAGGTGGGCAGGAGCAGGGACCGAGCAACGGGAGCTCACCCCCATCGCGGGGATTCAAAACCACCGACCTTCTGATCAGCAAGTCCTAGGCTCTGTGGTTTAACCCACAGTGCCCACCCGTGTCCCGTTCCCCCATTTAGCACGATATATAACACAGGATTATGGATCCTCAGCCTCAGCAAACTTTTTCAGCAGGGACCGGTCCACTGTCCTCAGACCTTGTGGGGGCCGGGACTATATTTTTTGGGGAAATGAATGAATTCCTATGCCCCACAAATAACCCAGAGATGCATTTTAAATAAAACAACACATTCTACTCATGTAAAAACACGCTGTCCGTGGGCTGGATTTAGAAGGCGATTGGGCTGCATCCTGCCCACGGGCCTTAGGTTGCCTACCCCTTTTCCAAAATTGCCTACTCCTTTTTCAAAATTTGTTTCTAGTCCTCATGACATAGCTGTAAACCTTCCCCTTTTTTGCGGGAAATTCCCTTATTTCAGCGCCGTTTCCTGCTGCTTCCTGTTGCTATCCTGGATTGTTAGATATCCTGTAGACTGTCTCTGGGACAGGTGAAGCTGCTGATGCCTTATTTTCAAATCTGAAAGTTGACAGCTATGCTGCTGATCCCTTATTTTCGAGGCTGCTGATCCCTTATTTTCAAATCTGAAAGTTGACAGCTGTGCCTCATGAGCTGTAAGGGTGCCAGGAAATGTGCTAAGGTGAATTCCAGGTGACAGGGCATCCCAATACCCCAACTCACAGAATAAAAAATGCATCTCATTAGACTTGCCACCACCTGGCTACGAGGCAAGGACTCCCTGCCTTTCCAATACTAGTTCAGTGGTACCTCGGGTTAAGAACTTAATTTGTTCCGGAGGTCCGTTCTTAACCTGAAACTGTTCTTAACCTGAGGTACCACTTTAGCTAATGGGGCCTCCCACTGCTGCTGCACCACCGCTGCACGATTTCTGTTCTCATCCTGAAGCAAAGTTCTTAACCCGAGGTAATATTTCTGGGTTAGTGGAGTCTGTAACCTGAAGCGTATGTAACCTGAGGTACCACTGTACTATGGTAACGCAGCTCTTTCCTTAGGACCTAAAGTGTGCGGAAAGAGTTAATCACCACTTCTCAGGTTCAAGTTACAAGAAGAAAGGTCAATTAAACATTGGAAATAACTTCCTAGCCGTGTGAGTGGTTTGACAATAGAACAGGCTACCTCAGAAAGACTCTCCTCCATTGCAAGCTTTTAAGCAGAGGCTGGATGGCCACCTATCAGTGGGTTTCTTACACTGGCGGGGAGCTAGACTATAGGACCTTTGAGGTCCCTTCCAGTCGTATGATTGTACATGTTGCTCTCAGGCTGTTTGGAGCTAGAATAGGGTCTAAGGTGAAGGTAAAGGGACCCCTGACCATTAGGTCCAGTCGTGACCGACTCTGGGGTTGCGGCGCTCATCTCGCTTTATTGGCCGAGGGAGCTGGCGTTTGTCCGCAGACAGCTTCTGGGTCATGTGGCCAGCAGGACTAAGCCGCTTCCGGTGAACCAGAGCAGCGCACAAAACGCCGTTTACCTACCCGCTGGAGCGGAACCTATTTATCTACTTGCACTTTGACGTGCTTTCGAACTGCTAGGTTGGCAGGAGCAGGGACTGAGCAACGGGAGCTCACCCCGTCACGGGGATTCGAACCGCCGACCTTCTGATCGGCAAGCCCTAGGCTCTGTGGTTTATCCCACAGGAGCACCCGCATCCCTTAGAATAGGGTTTACCTGTGCTAATTAGCAAAATAAATACTGTTGCACCAGTGCTTTTGCCTGATAATCTGTTACTTTTCCACTGGAGAACATTCAAGTATACAGGAAATCTCCGGCTTTGTTGTACATTCCCTCTCCCTGTTCTTTCTTACAGGAAAGGGAACGGAGTGCTGTTGTTCACAGCTCAAAGCAAGATGGAGAAAAAATTAGAATTGGATCAGGCCAGCCCGATCCCTGTGGTAAGCAAAGCTTAGGTTGTAAGCCTCTTCTGTTTTGAAATGAAAGTTGTCCTCCGTAGGAGCTTTTGTCTGATGTTTAGGTAAGCATCAGAAAAACCGCAAAGGTTCCTGTGAATCTGCTCACTGCACGCTTGACAGAACTCAACAAACATAGCATATAGGATTCAGCTGGATCTCTGGGAAGTAGACCAATGCATGTGAGAGTGAGGCCAGAATTTGCATCCTATTGAAGAGCTGGTTGGTGTAATCTTCATATGTCTATGAGGCATCTGTTAAGTTGTGGGTGAACATATCAGAGGACACAGCGATTCTTCAAACAGCTCTTGTTTATTCACAGGCCAGAACAGAACTGAACTGAAGGGTTCAGCCAGCCTGCTTATATAGAGCTCCACTAGAACGCAACTGTAACCATTTTCTGTAACTATCCAATCACTGAACGTCACTTTCGATCCCTTATTTGCATATGTGGACCTGAACTATCTACAGTATCCCCCTGAAACTTGAAGTTTTAAGTAAAACTTACCAGATGGACCTCACACCTGAGATGACAAACTACCTCATAAGGAAATAATAATAATAATAATAATAATAATAATAATAATAATAATAATAATAATAATAATAATAATAATAATTTATTTCTACCCTCTCCATCTGGCTGGGTTTCCCCAGCCACTCTGGGCGGCTTCCAACAGAACATTAAAAACAGAACAAAACTTCAAACACTAAAAACTTCTCTAAACAGGGCTGCCTTCAGATGTCTTCCAAATGGAAGATAAAGGCAGTTGCGGGCTGGACACGAGCCCGCCCCGTGCGCGGGGTGTGGCTAGCCCCCGCATCATAGGGAGTCCTCTCCATGTCACTCCCCAGACCGACCAATCTGGGCAGCCAGGGGGCGTGCCATGCTCTATTTAGCAGCCCACGGGTGGGAACTCGCCCCTTTTTTCTGATTTCTGCTTGCGCAGTTTGGCTCGGGTGGCGGTTAGGCATTGGAGTATTAGATTGGAGGTGAGGGGAGGTCAAGGCCAACACCTACCCCTCCTAGTTCAAGGGTATTTCGTTAAAGGAATCCGGGGGCGTGATCCTGTCTGAAGTCCAGGCGGGGGCTAGGGCCATGACATGATCCCTAGCAGTGACCCTGGGGGAGTTTCTAGTTGATGTGCATCAGCAGGGCTCCCCCTACTGGTGGTTAACCCTTCCAAGACTCCTGCAGGTGGGCAGGAGTCAGATATAGTTGGTTCCAATTCCTAAGCCAATACCACTCACATTCTGTAACCAATGCAGTTGCGACGTTTTTTAGCCTATTAACCTAAAATACTGGTACTGTATCAAGTGTCTTTATTCCAACTAAGGGGGGCGGGTTGGGGTCTTGCCATGCAACTGCAGCTTTTATCTAGCAGTGCAATACAGTGAGTTCAGTATGACTGACTGCCAGGTAAGTGTACTTTGTTTAGTCGTTTAGTCGTGTCCGACTCTTCGTGACCCCATGGACCAGAGCACGCCAGGCACTCCTGTGTTCCACCGCCTCCCGCAGTTTGGTCAGGCTCATGTTTGTAGCTTTGAGAACACTATCCAACCATCTCATCCTCTGTCGTCCCCTTCTCCTTGTGCCCTCCATCTTTCCCAACATCAGGGTCTTTTCCAGGGAGTCTTCTCTTCTCATGAGGTGGCCAAATCCTTCATGGATCACTGCCTTGCCGTGGCGAAGGGGCTTGAATAACTCAGAGAAGCTATGAGCTATGCCGTGCAGGGCCACCCAAGATGGACAGGTCATAGTGGAGAGTTTTGACCAAACGTGATCCACCTGGAGCAGGAACTGGCAAGCCACTCCAGTATTCCTGCCAAGAAAACTCCATGGACAAGTGTACTTAGATTGTGTTAATAAGATTTAGAATTGCAGCCTTAAGTTGTTTTCATGGGTGCCTGTCTCACCTGCAGTTGCCCCCCCACCATAAACCATAATGCATAGATTCCCATCTTTCTTTCTTTATTTTTTTAAAACCCAACCTAAGTTCCTAGTGTTATGTACTGAAGTTCTCACCCTGGGCCAGCAGGGGGATGCTGTAGATAGTTTTCACTCAGGTCCACATATGCAAATAAGGGATTGAAAGTGACGTTCAGTGATTGGATAGTTACAGAAAGTGTTACAGTTGCGTTGTAGTGGAGCTCTATATAAGCAGGCTGGCTGAACCTTTCAGTTCAGTTCTGTTCTGGCCTGTGAATAAACAAGAGCTGTTGAAGAATTGCTGTGTCGTCTTATATGTTCTCCCACAACTTAACACCTAGTATGGGAATCGGGTAGCGCTGTGGTCTGAACCACAGAGCCTAGGGTTTGCCTTTACCTAAGTTCCAATAATAATAATAATAATAATAATAATAATAATAATAATAATAATAATAATTTATTATTTATACCCCGCCCATCTGGCTGTGTTTCCCCAACCACTTTGGGCGGCTCCCAATCAAGTGTTTAAAACAGTACAGCGTTAAATATTAAAAACTTCCCTGAACAGGGCTGCCTTCAGATGTCTTCTGAATGTCAGGTAGTTGTTTATCTCTTTGACATCTGATGGGAGGGCGTTCCACAGGGCGGGCGCCACTACCGAGAAGGCCCTCTCTCTGGTTCCCTGCAGCCTCACTTCTCGCAATGAGGGAACCGCCAGAAGGCCCTCGGCGCTGGATCTCAGTGTCCGGGCTGAACGATGGGGGTGGAGACGCTCCTTCTGGTATACAGGACCTAGTGTGGGATAACCTGCCATCTAGGTGCCTTGCAGCTGAGCTCCTGGGTCACTTGCTCCCTGGATCCCGAACCCCCCACCCAAACTCGCAACAATACACGTCTGGCCCCTGGGTCACTATCTGGAGAATAAAATCTCTCAAGATTGCAAAGTTTGACTCTTCCTGTTTTAGGGAATGCTTTGGCAGTTACAATGTTCTGCAAACCTGTGGATACTTGCCTAGGAGTAAGTTTCATTGAACACACTGAGTTTTATCTTTAAGTGACAGGCCCAGTAAAACTTAGATATGCCTCCTGTGTAGAAATACTCCTAACTTATATTTTTCTAAATAGGGAAGACTCCTAAGGGAGACATATGCCACACAGGAAGCAAGACAAAGATAGATCAAGCATCAAGTGAAGCAGCTTATGCCCAATTACCTTTGGTAAGCAGTCAATTTATAATTATTTATAATGATCCATTGCATACGTGAAGAATTCATTTGCTAAACTGTATGTTGCACGTCTTCATAGCTACAAATAATGCAAATTTCAAGGCAAGTTTAAATGCGTGTGTGTGTGTGTGTGTGAATGTTGATTTTTAATGACTGATTTCTCTGTGTTTTAGTGGCTCTAGTTTTTTATCCGTAAGCCTCCTTGAGTCCCATCGGGTGAAAATGTGTGGTATTAATAATCATAACAATATCTTCCCTTTCAAACGCATCACACCCAGTGAATGGATTAGTAGGGTGTTCAGTTGTATGAACAGAAAGGTGGAGGTGACGTGTGAGGGTGTGTGTATGAATAGATTGGGGGTTCAGGGGTCTGTATCACTGCCAACTACAGTGGTGCCTCGCAAGATGAAAATAATCCATTCCGCGAGTCTCTTCGTCTAGCGGTTTTTTCGTCTTGCGAAGCAACCCTATTAGCGGCTTAGCGGCTATTAAAGGTTTAGCGGCTTAGCGGCTAAAAGGCTATTAGCGGCTTAGCGGCTTAGAAAAAGGGGGGGGGAGCGAAAAAAATCGCAAGACTCGCAAGACGTTTTCGTCTTGCGAAGCAAGCCCATAGGGAAATTCGTCTTGCGAAGCGCATTGAAAAACGGAAAACCCTTTCGTCTAGCGGGTTTTTCGTCTTGCGAGGCATTTGTCTTGCGGGGCACCACTGTATTTATTCATAGAACTAAGCCATGGGTAGTCACACTAAGGCCCGGGGGCTGGATCCGGCCCAATTGCCTTCTAAATCCGGCCCGTGGACGGTCCAGGAATCAGTGTGTTTTTACATGAGTAGAATGTGTGCTTTTATTTAAAATGCACCTCTGGGTTATTTGTGGGGCATAAGAATTCGTTCATTTTTTTTCTTTTCAAAATATCGTCCGGCCCCCCACAAGGTCTGAGGGACGGTGGACTGGCCCCCTGCTGAAGAAGTTTGCTGACCACCCTGAGTGGTCAAACAGCTAAGAATGCGGTGTGTGTGTGTGTGTGTGTGACTGGAGAAAGAGATAAGTATGATCTGCAGTTATACTCCCTTCCTTTGGCCAATGAAGAGCCCTCCTCCTATATTCTTGTACAGGCAGCTCCTGGTTTAGGCCTGTCTGAATGACGTGTGATTGTCCACACGCCCCCATCATGCCAAAGGAGTGGGGCAGGTTGGGTTTACATGCTCTTCTGCTGACATGAACAGGGGTCCAGAACAGGACCCTCCTGCCCTGCAAAACAATATTTGCCTGTATTCATTTCCCTCCTTAGAGCTGAGCAGCAAGGGAAAACAGGCTCAGCCACATCTTCTCTCCCACTCCCCACGATTCTGCCGCTTGGCAGGAGGGAAGACTACAATTAATAAGACGTTTGTGAGGCAGGGAAGATGACTACCAAACCTGTTCACCTGCCCTGTCTCCTTCCTTCCCTCCCTCTTTGTCGCTCACGTACTCTCTCTCCCACTGTTGAAATGGGCACATTTCCCCAAGGCTTGTTTATGCCTTGTTGTTGTTGTTTAGTCCTTTAGTCACGTCCAACTCTTCATGACCCCATGGAACAGAGCATGCCAGGCACTCCTGTCTTCCACTGCCTCCTGCAGTTTGGTCAAACTCATGCTGGTAGCTTTGAGAACACTGTCCCACCATCTCGTCCTCTGTCGTCCCCTTCTCCTTGTGCCCTCCATCTTTCCCAACATCAGGGTCTTTTCCAGGGCGTCTTCTCTTCTCATGAGGTGGCCAAAGTAATGGAGCCTCAGCTTCACGATTTGTCCTTCCAGGGAGCACTCAGGGCTGATTTCCTTCAGAATGGATAGGTTTGATCTTCTTGCCGTCCATGGGACTCTCAAGAGTCTCCTACAGCACCATAAGCACCATAATTCAAAAGCATTTGACCAGGAAATGTTCAAAGTTACCTTTTCAGGGTTTAGAATGTGCACCATGGGAAGCTGCTCATAATTCCTTGCTTTGCTGTTACAGACTCTACCTGATCCCAAAGCCGTGATCCAAAGACAACGGGAGGTACCTCATTTAATTCCCCAAGAAAACACATCCCTGACACACAAATTCAAGAAAGGAAACTTAGGGCTGACAAATCATAAAGACCGGCATCCGCAGGTGAGATACATAGGGTTTAATTTATTTTTAGCACTTCACTCTCTACCTGTTGATCAGATTGCAGTGGAGGGGGAACCTGGTTTGATTGGTCCTGCAACAGAGCTGCTGGTGTTTTCCTCAGAAGCACGGGATTGCATCTTGAGGAAGTTGATCTCACTCCAGGAGTGGGTGGGAATGTGTATGAAGAGACCCTAATTCACTGTGTTTTAAGTTAGATTGCTTCTTCACAGATTTGCAGTTGCTTGTGTCTCAATATTTTTGGTATTGTCCACATGGCATCCTCCTCATTCGACTGGCAGCCCCCACTTTTCCCACAGTAAACTCCACCCAAGGAAAATTTGTTAAGCAAAGTTAATTCAACATAAAATTGGGTAGGTGGGTTCTGGTGGTGTTTGCCGTTTGTCACTATGCCCCCAACAGCTTTCAAGGTCAACAGCTGGCTAGAGAAGATCGGGCTGCAATGGTAAAGGCAGCCCTTGCTTCAAAATAGTTAAGCCTCACTTCAATGGAATGTACTTAGGAATAAACAGCTGTAAGAATGGGAAAGCCTTGGGAAGGAGGGAACTTCAGAAAACACCCAACTGGATTGCCTCCACCCAATTGGTTCTCTGCTCTCTCCTTTGTGAGTGAATCATTGCCGCTCATATCTTGATGCCTGGCTATTCTTTGCTCTTTGACACACACATGCACATTTTATTTTCAACTTGCTGTTTAAAAATGACCATTTTTTAAACTTTACTTTGTACATACTTTTTTAGACTCTTTAGAGAGAAAAAACAAGGAGCATATGCACAGATAAATAAATATCTGGGCATGCCAACAAGGAGCCTCAAGCTTCCAGAGCCAGTGTGGTGTAGTGGTTAAGAGCGGTGGACTCGTAATCTGGCGAACTGGGTTCGATTCCCCGCTCCTCCACCTGCAGCTGCCGGGTGACCTTGGGCCAGTCACACTTCTCTGAAGACTCTCAGCCCCACTCACCTCACAGAGTGTTTGTTGTGGGGGAGGAAGGGAAAGGAGAATGTTAGCCGCTTTGAGACTCCTTCGGGTAGTGATAAAGCGGGATATCAAATCCAAACTCTTCTTCCAGAATTCATTGAGGATGGGGAAGCACTAATTGAGGGAAAGAAAAAACATACAGCACAAAAGCTTCACATCAAGTACCATCCACTAGTGTGGATCGGAAACAATGAGATAAATTTTGGAGGCATAAAATGGAAAGTGCTTATGTGTGAACCAAGGCAGACAAAAGTGCAGAAACAGCAACCCATATAATGAGATGAAAAAATGTTGAAATATACATTCATAAAGAAACCAGAAGCATTTTTACTGGGCATTGTGGGGAGTGATATAAATAGAAAGGAACGTAAGCTCTTTTTATATGCAATAACAACAGCAAGAATATTACTGGCCCAAAAATGGAAGCAAGAAGAATTACCGACGATGGAAGAATGGAGGATGAAGTTAATGGACTATGCAGAACTAGATAAACTAAGAGGAAGGATTCGAAACCGGCGGGACCAGAAATTCACGGCAAACTGGAGTAAATTTACAGACTATTTGAAAAGTATTTGTGAAGATCAGATGACGTTTGTAGGTTTGCAAGAAGTTTTGTGAGGAGTATTATTGGAGTATTGCAAAAATGGATAAGGGGAAGGATGATTTGTTAAGAGATGTAAACGCAATATAAAGTTAAGAAATGCATAAGAAGTGGTTAAAACGGTGGATGATCAGAGGTGCTGATGGAAGTCTAAAAAGATTGTATAAGTGAAGTGATAAGTTTTGTGGTACATTTTATAATTTATATGTTAAAATCAATAATAATAAAAAAGAACTCAGTAATCTTGTAGCCTTTCTAAATCAGGTTCCAGTAACAGACACCATCATAGGACAACCAGCAGTAAACCAAAGAAATCCCAGGCCTCTAGAACATGCTGTGAGCACAGAGCTTGCATTATCCAACAGAACTGTCCTGTGTACCTTTTAACTTGCCCAGAAAACAGAGGAACCCTGAAAACACACAAAAGCCTCCTCATAAGGCAGGGATCCTGATGAACATGCTCAGGAAAAAGGAAAAACCTGGGGAAGATCCAACACCTTTTAAACTTTTCCTCAGTTCCAGCTGTGCTTGGATCCCAGAAAGGAAGAGGAGCGTTCAGGGGAGTAGGAGGTCATGGAAGAACTACTCTGGGGCAGACCTTCCCAAGCTTCTTGCTGGGTTGTGGAAAATCTCTGGCTGGATTAATCTGGCTGGCAAAGAAAGAAGCTACACAGTCAGCACCCAGCTGGCAAAGATAGCATCTACTTTATTCGGCAGCACCTCCTTCCACAACACCTCTGTTTCTGGCATGCTTCCACAAGCTGCTATGCAAAGGATGGCATAAACTTTCAAAAAGCTACTCGTGTCTTCTGCAGTAAGTTCCACCATCTACCTAAGGACATATCTTCCAGCTGTTCCCAAAGTCAACACACCAGTGGTGACTGTCACATCAAAGGTGCTTCTCAATGATACGCTGCCTAGGAACTGGTCAACGTTACCGTAGTGCAGAAGCTGTTTTTTGCAGAGTGGACACCATTGCCCTTCGGAAAGCTATCACAGCAGCCACAGTCAAACTGGGAGCAACCACACCTTCTTGTTCTAGAAGTTCACAAATCACTTTATTTAAGCATAGCAGCACAAGCAACTAATAGAAAATACCTGCAGGGCAGAAGAACACATGCAGCAAATTATACCTCTCCTTTGAAAATTATGTGTCATTCCTGAGACAGACGGATGGTCACTTATTCCTATCCCAGGACCCACTTACAATCTCTGTCTTAAAGCTCCCTTAGTTTCACACCAGATCTCTTCAGTACTTCCCCCTAGACTTTCAAGACCAGACTGCCCTGTTGTCCCTTTTCTGTGTAGGTGCCTTTTCGTAAAGCGCATGTTAAATGTTTTTAAAATATGTGGTTAAAATATGAAGCCTAAATAATAAGATGAAACTAGGCAGAGGGCCTTCTCAGTAGTGGGGCCCACCCTGTGGAAATGTCCTCCCATCAGACGTCAAGGAAATGTTAATGTAAGTTTTTAATGTTTGCTGTTTTATTGTGTTTTTAATATTTGGAGTGACTGGGGAGACCCAGTCAGATGGGCAGCGTATAAATAATAAAATTATTATTATTAATCTAAATTGTCTCTGCAAATTGATATTCCACATAGGACCTCAAAACTCTAATCTTCAAACCTTACATTAGAAATTTTGGGATGGCTGCTTTTGTCTGAGGTGTAAATTTCTATTTTTAATTGCATGATGCTGTGTGACAAATACTCAGGCTTGTTTGATAAATCTGAATTTATGCCACATTTCCCAAAGTCTCCTCCTACCCCAGGTCCTTCCTAAGCAATCTGAGGCTTTGTCACCTTGTTTGTCTTCTTCATATCTCTTCTGGTCCTGGGAGACCGTGTGTGTGTGTGTGTGTGTGTGTGTGTGTGTGTGTGTGTGTGAAGCTGTTCACAGCAGGAGGGGGAGACAACCTGGCTTCCTCACCAGCCTGCATTATCTTTGACTTTTAGCCCCCCTCTACTTTTGCCTCTGATTCTGGACTGCTCTCTGTGACTTTGGAAAATGTCAATCACTTCTCCTACCTGGGCAGTTATCTTTCCACAAGGGCTGACACTGATGCCGAAATCCAGCATTGCCTGAGCTCTGAAAGTTCAGCTTCCTCCTGATTCAAGTGCAGAGTGTTTGAGGACTGGGACATTCTCAGGGAAACCAAAATGCTTGTTGACAAAGCTATTGTACTACCAACCTTACTGTATGCTTATGAAACATGGACCACTTATAAACGCCATCTCCAACTTCTTGAAAGTTTCCATCAACGGTGTCTCTGAAAAATTTTTCACATCACTTGGGAAGACAGGCGAACTAATGCCAGTGTACTGGAAGAAGCAAAGATCACCAGTGTCGAAACGGTGATTCTTCAACATCAACTTCGTTGGACTGCTCCTGTTGTGTGGATGCCTGATTATTGTCTTCCAAAGCAACTACTCTATTCCGAACTTAAAAATGGAAAGCGCAATGCTGGTGGTCAACAAAAGAGGTTTAAAGACTGTCTCAAGGCAAATCTTAAAAAATGTAGTATAAACACTGACAACTGGGAAACACTGACCTGCGAGCGCTCCAGTTGGAGAACAGCCTTTACGAAAGGTGTCATGGGCTTTGAAGACACTCAAACTCAGGATGCAAGGGAGAAACATTCTAAGAGGAAGGTATGCTTGGCAAATCCACACCGTGATCAACTCCCGCCCGGAAACCAATGTCCCCACTGTGGAACATGTGGATCCAGAATTGGCCTTCACAGTCACTTACGGACTCATTGTTAAAACCGTGTTTATCTTACAGTGGTACCTCTAGATACGAACGGGATCCATTCCGGAGCCCCGTTCGCATCTAGAGGTAAACGTAACTAGCGATGGCACGTCTGCGCACGCGCGTGTCACTTTTTGCCGCTTCTGCGCATGCGCGTGGTGTCATTTTGAGCATCTGCGAATGCGCAAGCGGCGAAACCCGGAAGTAACGTGCTCTGTTACTTCCGGGTTGCCGAGGAGCGCAACTCGAATGCGCGCAACTCGAAGCGTATTTAACCCGAGGTATGACTGTACTTGGCTGTGAGTGATCATCAAAGAAGAAGAAGACGACTCTCCCAGCTCACTAAACCTCTTCAGCTTCTGACACCACCTCCTCCCTCTTCTCCTTCTGATTTCCCATCGCCATCCCACCACCAACCCCCTCACTCTGAGCCTTCTTCCATTGGGGGGTCCCCAGCTAGTCCCTTCTACCACTCTGCGTCCAGCCAGTTTGTGACAGTGCCTCTGCAAAACATTTCTACTTTAAAATAACTGAATAAATAGCTGTGAAAATTCATTGAAATATTCAGGATGTTGGGATATTTGTGACAAAATTGAAACCAAAGTTGTTTTTATGCCCTGATAATGTTGCTCTTCGCGGGACGCGGGTGGCGCTGTGGGTAAAAGCCTCAGCGCCTAGGGCTTGCTGATCGAAAGGTCGGCGGTTTGAATCCCCGCGGCGGGGTGCGCTCCCGTTGTTCGGTCCCAGCGCCTGCCAACTTAGCAGTTCGAAAGCACCCTTAAGTGCAAGTAGATAAATAGGGACCGCTTACTAGTGGGAAGGTAAACGGCGTTTCTGTGTGCAGCTCTGGCTTGCCAGAGCAGCTTCGTCACGCTGGCCACGTGACCCGGAAGTGTCTCCGGACAGCGCTGGCCCCCAGCCTATAGAGTGAGATGAGCGCACAACCCTAGAGTCTGTCAAGACTGGCCCGAACGGGCAGGGGTACCTTTACCTTTTACCTATAATCCTATAATTTTTCTGTAGAGGCCGAGTTGGCCTGTGGTGATTGTTATTTTTGAAACAGAATAATATTTATTTTAATAACAAGAGAAGAAATTATACATATTGGTTCTCAGGAAACATTTTTGTAGAAACGAATCTCACTGACATCTTACTGATGGCTGACACAAATAAAGATTCATTCATTCATTCTCACTGACAAATGTGCTCCTGTTAAGTTCTTCAGGATTTCCTTGACACACCTGCATACGGAATATGCTAATATTCACCATTTCCTTCATGTTTACTGAGCTCACGTTTGGAGAGAAACATTAAAATATCAATCTACTAAAGATTGATGTTTTGTTATGTTTTGTGTTTTTTTAAAATAGAACACTTGACTAATATTATTCATAGATTCCATCTTGCTGTGACATTTTTGGATTAGAAAAAGAGTGGTGTTGGATTTCACTTTTCAGAGTGAACATTTTAATGGAGACAGGCCTAAATCATGGAGCTCTGTCATTATGGGGTGTGAAAGACGTGCCCCAAACTTTTGTGATCTCAGTGTCTTCAACGTCTGTTGTTTACCAATGAGGAGGAACCGCAGAGTGCAGCCGAAGGTAACCCTTGTTGGAAGTTTGTTTTGCTTCTTTCCTGAAAACTGTGTGTGTCTGTGTTGGTTCATATTCCGGCTGTTGCAGTGTGATATGGGCATTCCGCCATACAGTATGGGAACAGAAGTATATTTTAACTTGTTATATTCTGTGTTAAGTAGAAGCTGCTATGATTTAGCTAAATTACTATTACTTTTTCAATTTTTAATTTTCACAAAAGAAAAACAAAAAAACATAAAAAAGGGAAAGATAAGTCAATCTTACAGTAGGTATTCTTAGACTAAGATGAATGTTACAATATACATAGTAAAATTGTTTAGAAATCTAAGATAGGTATATAGATATAGATATATACTTATAATAACATTGAAAAGAAAAACAACCGGAAAAGTGTTAAAATTAAAAATTCCTATCGATCGATAAGCAATGTTCAACCAATTCAAACCAATACTAGGGTATTTTGTACACAAAATCCTTCGTGTTGGATTGAATCCCGGATCAATTTATTGTTTTGTTGACTTCCGTCTAACTCTTTGCGGTTTCAATTCAACATACTCCTATTTTTAATCTGTATTTAATTGTTTATCCTCACCTTGGGGTGAAGAAAAAATATTTTTCTATCTGTGAAAATTATTCTAGACACAGCCAAGTGTTATTTTTGGAACCGTGTTTTGTCAAATAGTTACTAAAACATTCCCACTATTTTTCAACCTTATCTACCGATTTGTTTCTTATTAACTCCGTCATTTTAGCGAGTTCCAAGCACTCACATAATTTTAATTGCCATTCCTCTCTTGTTGGTGTTGATTCGTTCTTCCAATATTTCGCTATTAAGATTCTGGCTGCTGTAACTGCATAAAGAAACAGTCTTTTGGTTTCCTTTAGAATGTTTATTGTTAAAATGCCTAATAAAAACGCTTCTGGGTTTTTTTTAAAGTTTTTTTTTTAAATGTATGTTTTAGCATTTTTTAAAACTCTTCGTGAATCATGTCCTAGATTACTATTACTATGCTTTCTAAAGAAAAGAAAAAGGTGCACTTTTTTTTAAAAAAAAGAGGAAATACTTGATGAGTTTATTAAAGCAGGACAAGTGATCCAAGTAAACATATAGGTCTATTTATTCTGAAGTCTGGGACACAGGTGGCGCTGTGGGTTAAACCACAGAGCCTAGGACTTGACGATCAGAAGGTCAGCGGTTCAAATCCCCGCGACGGGGTGAGCTCCCGTTGCTCCGTCCCAGCTCCTGCCAACCTAGCAGTTCGAAAGCACGTCAAAGTGCAAGTAGATAAATAGGTACCCCTCTGGCAGGAAGGTAAACGGCGTTTCCGTGCGCTGCTCTGGTTCGCCAGAAGCGGCTTAGTCATGCTGGCCACATGACCCGGAAGCTGTACGCCGGCTCCATCGGCCAATAAAGCGAGATGAGCGCCGCAACCCCAGAGTTTGGTCACGACAGGACCTAATGGTCAGGGGTCCCTTTACCTTTACCTATCCTGAAGTCTAAAAGGCAAGTTCCATCTGTCTCCAGGCAATGATAACATAGTACACCTTCAAACAGCTTTACATTACAACCAGTTGGTTTCACCAGTGCTGCTTTTGTGTTTTTTAATGGACTGAACAGAGTGAAAGATTATGAGTTATGGGGGGGCTGGGGAGTGTGTGTATGTGAATTCAGCAGTGCTCAGTTTATTTTTGGGTTGCTATTTTGGTAAAATCTGTTAATATTGTTTTATTGATTCTAAATGCCGTATTAATTTGTCCATCCTATAATATGACTTTTGTTGCAATTGTGCTGTTTAGCTATCTTTTTTAGTTATTTCGTTAATGGTATTTTGTAGATTGCAATTGTTTCTCTGACGATTTGTTAATTGCTTGGTGAGATTTATGCTGTGTTTGTGATGTTCTGTTCTGTTATTGCTATGTATGGTTTGTAAACCGCTTTGCGATTCATTTGAAAGAAAAGCAATATGGCAATATAATAAAGCAAAGCCAAGCAAACTTGCCAACTCTGAAATAAACTGAGTGGGAGACTTTGTTTAATTTTAAAAAAAAATTATTTGGTTTTTCAGTTTAAAGTTTTGCAGTCAATTATCAACAACCAACATAAAAACAAGATTCAAAAGAATTTCCTGAACTTCCCTCCTCCCCTTTGTGGGTCCTTTTGTTAACCATTTCCTCCTGCATCTTTTATAATAATCCAAATCTTTTACATCTCCATATATTCAAAATTCAACATTAAACTCCAAGTATTATTCCAATCCTACTAACAATTTTAACTGTTTGCCATGGTTTTTAAGATAAATTATAAATTCCCCTCATTCCTTATTAAAATTTTGGTATTCCTGGTTTCTGATTCTTCCGGTCATTTTTGCCATTTTGGCATAATCCGTCAACTTAATCTGCCATTCTTCTCTGGTTGGGTCTTGGTCTTTTTTCCCCCATCTCTGGGCCATTAACATCTGAGAAACTGTGGGACTTTGTTTAAAAAATTAGCCTCTGTTCCTTGTCATTTCCCCTTTCCTGAAAAAATCTATTTCCCCCCCATGTCCTGAATATATTACAAATAGGATTCCACACATATGGAGTTCAGGTTGCTGCTGGAAATTACTTCCTGGTGAACACTCTCATTCTATTTTCCTAACTTCTGTGGGAAGGGTCTGGATTCTATTGTAGGAGTTGGCAAGGTTTACCTCGCCTGGGCTGGTTCACTCCAGCGGAGATCCCTCCTTGGGCCGGATCACACGCACGTGTGAGTGTGCGTGCCTGCATCTGTGCAGACACGATTTCCGGCGCCTGCGCATGTGCAGATGCGATTTCCAGTGAAGTGTGCGGGGACTCGCAGAGAGGGTGGCTCGGTTCGGAGGTGTCTCAGGAGCCGGTTAAACGACCACCGTGGGCTGCTTGTGGCCCATGGGCCTTAGGTTGCTGACCCCTGCTCTATTGTTTAGTACCAGGCAGGAAAAACATACTCCACTCCTCTAAATTCTCTGGCTTGTCCAGGAGCCAGGATCTTCCTATACTAAAGGACACAAAGGGGAGCAGTTAGTTCACTTCTTGTAGCAGGCAAAACTCGTTATAATAATAATAATAATAATAAATTTTATTTATATCCCGCCCTCCCCAGCTGAAGCCGGGCTCAGGGCGGCTAACAACAATAAAATAATACAACATTCTAAAATCATTTCATTATAAAATTAATTCAAATCAAATTGATGGCAACCATTGGGCTAGAGTTCTGTGAAGATTGCCAAAGGAGGGAGTCAATTTGCTGTGTAAATCTGTTTGCTCATGATTTCATATACCCTGCAAAAGTTATTTTTTAATGTTTTAAAGACTTTATGAAACCAAATCCAAACGATTTCTTTTTGTGCTAACTTTATTTATCCCATTAGAAATTAAATAGCAGCATAAGTGTGCTCCCTCACCTGGAGTGCCAAGTTAAGAGCAATTTGGTTTCAAGTGCTGTGAAGCCGCAGCAGCAAGATGCTATCCTTCCGCAAATAACCGCCAAGAACTTGCAGAATGTAAATGCGTTGCATCAGGTAAGCCAGACAGAGCTTAGTACTACGTTTTTACGTTTCATTGTTGTGGTTAGAAAAGTTGCGGAATATCGTGTATGTAGATGCGTGCATCTCATGGTGTCAGAATTTTTTTTTATAAACGTTGACGTTTACCAGGCATTCTTAAGATTTTCAAAATTGCAGGAAGATATTCTGAGTTCTTTAGTAAGTAGAGATCATGTTGATGGTAGAAGGAACCCTACCTAGCCTGATAGAAAAGCTCAGGCCTTATATACAGTAACCCTTGCCTCCAAATCCAGGATGTCGTGCCCTCTTGCAGAAGATAAGAGCACAGACACACACAGAGGGCCCCAAGAGAATGTGGTGGTTGAGACAAACATGGGGTGTGCTCTGTAGAGAGTGTCCTCCCTAGAAGAAGGCACGTGGTGCAGTGAGACCTGGAGACTGACCTCCTGGTTGTGGGTGGGTATGTTGGACAGCCACAACACCCGATTGGTAGGTTCCTTGTTGCTGGGTTTAATCTGGCCAATGGGGTGCAGTCTAAACGGGTCGAGGGACCTATATATACCTATGCACGTGACCCAGAGCTTCCTCTTTCGGCTTGTGCATCGGAACACCCGCCCACCTCTCCCTATATTTAGGGCATTTTGCGCTTGACCTTGCTATGCCGTCGTGTGTCGTCTGTCGTTGGGACAGGGGCACGGCAGGAATTTCCCCCACTTGGCTGATTGGCTGTTGCCATTTGGGTTTCGCCTCCCGCGTAGCAAATCGTCACAACTTGTAAGGTTGCGGATAGGCTCTGGTTCAGGTGATAGGGATGGGAGAATGCTCTTGCCATCCCTATGTGAAGGGTATTCCGTTAAAGGAATCCAGGGACTCAACTTGGTTTGGTCAACCCCCGAAAAAGGGTTGTGCCCATGCCTGAGTCCAGGGGAGCATCTAGGTAGTAAACATAGTGTGTTCCCGGGCTTTTCACCCACCTCAGGTGTTCGCCTTTGGCTGACCTATGATAGAGCTCTGGGTCAGCGCTACCTGCAAGGGTGCAGGGAGCTAGTTGAACCAGAGCCTATGCAACCACTCATTTGCTGTAATCAATAATGTTGTGGCCTAAATTCTGGCAAAAACCAAATCTAAAATTTGAGTCAAATGTGTGTTTATCTAGGGAGGGGGGTGTCTCTTGGTCTGAACACACAACCAGGTTTCTGCATGGAACATTGAGCCCTTTTGTTCTATCCTTTTCACTGAAGGTGGGGAAAATCTGACCCCCCCAGCAGAGAAATACCAGTTCCTGTCCATACATATGTGCCTATATGCCTAAGGATGCAGAAGGCTCTTCATTGACTTCATTACAGCTGTCTAAAGATGGCCTCTGTTGTTGTTTTAATCAGACGAGAATTACTCATTTGAAATTATTTTACTGTAGAGATGGACTGAGAAAAAGGGGCTGAGATGTGTGGACTTAAGGCAAGTATTTTACAAAGCACCGTATTACTCTTTAGCAGGAAAACAGAGCCCCAGGCCAATCATTTCCTTCAGCTCCTCGTGAAAACAGTGCTATAGTTCTGTCCAGCAAGACAGAAACAGAAAAAGGCCACAATCTAAAGCTGCCTCTGACTTCAGCAGGTACAAATTTTGAATGCTAATTTTTTTTAACAGAAGCAAATTGATGGACAAAATTGAGAAAAATGCTTGAATGAGACTTGGAGTGGGTAAATTGTTGTTGTTTAGTCACTTAGTCGTGTTCGACTCTTCGTGACCCAATGGACCAGAGAACGCCAGGCACTCCTGTCTTCCACTGCTTCCCGCAGTTTGGTCAAACTCATGCTGGTAGCTTCGAGAACACTGTCCAACCATCTCATCCTCTGTCGTCCCCTTTCTTCTTGTGCCCTCAATCTTTCCCAACATCAGGGTCTTTTCCAGGGAGTCTTCTCTTCTCACGAGGTGGCCAAAGTATTGGAGCCTCAGCTTCACGATCTATCCTTCCAGTGAGCACTCAGGGCTGATTTCCTTAAGAATGGATAGGTTTGATCTTCTTGCAGTCCATGGGACTCTCAAGAGTCTCCTCCAGCACCAGAATTCAAAAGCATCAATTCTTCGGCGGTCAGCCTTCTTTATGGTCCAGCTCTCACTTCCATACATCACTACTGGGAAAACCATGGCTTTAACTATACGGACCTTTGTTGGCAAGGTGATGTCTCTGCTTTTTAAGATGCTGTCTAGGTTTGTCATTGCTTTTCTCCCAAGAAGCAGGCGTCTTTTAATTTTGTGACTGCTGTCACCATCTGCAATCATCATGGAGCCCAAGAAAGTAAAACCTCTCACTGCCTCCATTTCTTCCCCTTCTATTTGCCAGGAGGTGATGGGCCCAGTGGCCATGATCTTACTATTTTTGATGCTGAGCTTCAGGCCATATTTTGCGCTCTCCTCTTTCACCCTCATTGAAAGATTCTTTAATTCCTCCTCACTTTCTGCCATCAAGGTTGTGTCATCTGCACATCTGAGGTTGTTGATACTTCTTCAGACAATCTTAATTCTGGCTTGGGATTCATCCAGCCCAGCCTTTCGCATGATGAATTCTGCATATAAGTTAAATAAACAGGGGAACAATATACAGCCTTGTCGTACTCCTTTCCCAATTTTGAACCAATCAGTTGTTCCATACCCAGTTGTAACTGTAGCTTCTTGTCCCACATAGAGATTTCTCAGGAGACAGATGAGGTGATCAGGCACTCCCATTTCTTTAAGAACTTGCCATAGTTTGCTGTGGTCGACACAGTCAGAGGCTTTTGCATAGTCAATGAAGCAGAAGTAGATGTCTTTCTGGAACTCTCTAGCTTTTTCCATAATCCAGCACATGTTTGCAATTTGGTCTCTGGTTCCTCTGCCCCTTCAAAATCCAGCCTGCACTTCTGGGAGTTCTTGGTCCCCATATTGCTTAAGCCTGCCTTGTAGAATTTTAAGCATAACCTTGCTTGAATGAGACTTGGAGTGGGTAAATATATAAGCTATAAAATGGGGTGGGGGGAACCCTGGTTCAAACCACATCCCAACTGTGAACTTACTTGCAGATCTCAGGCCAGCCTTTCAGTTTTCCCACTCCAATTTGCACTACAGGGATAATAATAATAGCGGGTGGCGCTTGGGGTTAAACCACAGAGCCTAGGACTTGCCGATCAGAAGGTCGGCGGTTTGAATCCCCGCAACGGGGTGAGCTCCCGTTGCTCGGTCCCTGCTCCTGCCAACCTAGCAGTTCGAAAGCACGCCAGTGCAAGTAGATAAATAGGTACCGCTCCAGCGGGAAGGTAAACAGCGTTTCCGTGCGCTGTTCTGGTTCGCCAGAAGCGGCTTAGTCATGCTGCCCACATGACCCGGAAGCTGTACGCTGGCTCCCTCGGCCAATAAAGCGAGATGAGTGCTGCAACCCCAGAGTCAGTCACGACTGGACCTAATGGTCAGGGGTCCCTTTACCCTTTACTGAGCTCACTGATGCAGGGACACTAAAACTAAACTAGCCTCCTCTAACCCGGTGCTCTCCATATGTTTTTATTCTGCACCTCCCAGCAGCCATAGCCAGCATTTTTGGGGAACTGCTTTAAACAGCATATTCTGAGAGATGGGGAGAATGAGGAAATGAGTTATTTATTACATGATGGTTAAGTTATTTATCGGCCAGGAAGATGCTGCCACCAGCTCTTGAAGTTGGTCCATCAATATTTTGTACAATTTGTTTGCTTTAGTATTTAAATCGTGAGCTGCTTTGGGTTCCTTGGCAGAATTTATAGGTGCAATAAATAAATGAACACAATATCCAATGTTTGATTTTTGTCTCCAAATCAGAAGCCTTGAAACATTTTAAAAACCAGCTAACAACGTATGAGCAGCGGGAGATTAAGGAATATAGAGAGCTGTGGTTTCTTGGACTGGGAGCTAAAAAGATTGAAGCCTATCCTGATGCAGAGAACAACAGTTCCTATGATGATGATCATGGCTCCTACAAAAAGGTAAGAGGCTGAAAGTGCAGTATTGCTTTGGCATCCGTGACTGTGGAAACAATGCAGAACTATTGGTGTTCATCTTGTGTAAGAGCTGTCCAATGAGAGGAAGTGAAGAGTAATTTTCTCATTGCATTTAATAAATCCTGGCTCAGGAATATGAATATTGGGGACTCATAATGCTCACCTCTCACCTTGCCAACAAAGGTCCATATAGTTAAAGCTATGGTTTTCCCAGTAGTGATGTATGGAAGTGAGAGCTGGACCATAAAGAAGGCTGATCGCCTGAGAATTGATGCTTTTGAATTATGGTGCTGGAGGAGACTCTTGAGAGTCCCATGGACTTGAAGAAGATCAGACCTCTCCATTCTTAAGGAAATCAGCTCTGAGTGCTCACTGGAAGGACAGATCGTGAAGCTGAGGCTCCAATACTTTGGCTACCTCATGAGAAGAGAAGACTCCCTGGAAAAGACCCTGATGTTGGGAAAGATGGAGGGCACAAGGAGAAGGGGACGACAGAGGACGAGATGGTTGGATAGTGTTCTCGAAGCTACCAGCATGAGTTTGACCAAACTGCGGGAAGCAGTGGAAGAAAGGAGTGCCTGGCGTGCTCTGGTCCATGGGGTCACGAAGAGTCGGACACAACCAAACGACTAAACAACAACAACAAATGCTCACCAAAAATATGAGATGAGCATTTACAGCCCTATATTCTTCTTCAGCTTGGATTTTGATCTAAAATGAGAAGATTTTAATCTGAGCCAGAGTCTTTATTGTAATCCCTACGTTCCTTCTACCCACGTGTCACTGGGTGATGAATGCATGGAACATGTACTTGTGTTTTGTTCATGGAGTCACTGAATCACAGAACTGTAGAGTTTGAAGGGACCCCGAGAGCCATCTAGTCCAACCCTCTGCAATGCAGGAATCTCAGCTAAAGTATCCATGACAGATGGCCATCCAACCTCTGCTTAAAAACTTTCAAGGAAGGAGAGTCCACCAGCTCCCAAGGGGGTCTGTTCCACTGTCAAACAGCTCTTACCGTCAGAAAATTCTTTCTGATGTTTTGTCGGAATTTACTTTGTTTAACTTGAAGCCACTGGTTCTAGTCCTACCCACCAGAGCAAGAGAAAACAAGCTCGCTCCATCTTCCATGTGACAGCTCTTGAGATATTTGAAGATGACTATCACATTTAAAATAGGGATGTGGGTGGCGCTGTGGGTAAAAGCCTCAGCGCCTAGGGCTTGCCGATCGAAAGGTCGGCGGTTCAAATCCCCGCGGCGGGGTGCGCTCCCGTTGTTCGGTCCCAGCGCCTGCCAACCTAGCAGTTCGAAAGCACCCCCGGGTGCAAGTAGATAAATAGGGACCGCTTACTAGCGGGAAGGTAAACAGCGCTTCCGTGTGCGGCTCTGGCTCGCCAGATGCAGCTTTGTCACACTGGCCACGTGACCCGGAAGTGTCTCCGGACAGCGCTGGCCCCCGGCCTCTTGAGTGAGATGGGCGCACAACCCCAGAGTCTGTCAAGACTGGCCCGTACGGGCAGGGGTACCTTTACCTTTATCACATCTCCTCTCAACCTCCTCTTATCCAGGCTAAACATACCCAGTTCCCTCAACCAGCTTGGGTTCCAGACCTCCTCTGCACACATTCCAGCTTGTCAATATCCTTCTGAAATTCTGGTGCCAAAAACTTGACACAGAATTCCAGGTGTGGCAGAAGAGAGAGGTACTATTTCTTCCCTTGATCTGAACACTAGACATCTGTTGATGCAGCCTAGAATAGCATTTGCTGCTGCATTGCACTGTTGATTCATGTTCAGCTTGTGATCTGCTAGGACCCTAGGTCCTTTTAGCACCAGAGATACAAGGGCACGTACTACTTTTGCTTTCCACTTTTTGTCACCTTGTATAGGTTCTAAGTGATCATATCGCATACAGATACGAAATACTGGCTGTTATTGGGAAAGGATCGTTTGGGCATGTTGTGAAGTGTTTGGACCACAAGACAGGTGAAAAAGTAGCAGTGAAGATAATAAGGAACAAAAAGAGGTACGGTATGTCAAAGGTTTTATAAACTTTATCAAGATACCACAATGTTAGATGTTAGTTGAATAGAAATATTTTTTTTTAAATTTAATTGTGATTTGATTTATTTTAGCAAAAGATGGGAGTGGTTTTAACCAGTGTTTAGCCAGAAAACCCGCACAATTTTTTCAGCTAAAAAGAAATTGAAGAATGTTACAGCTTTCTGACTAAACAAACAAAATTCATATTCAGGTTTTCAAAATTGTAAGTTGTTTCGAGGGCTGGTTTTGGTGTGAAGATCTTGGGGAGGTTTCTAATTGCTTGACATGGTTAGAAGCCACCTCTGGACTTCACAGTAAACACATGATGAGGAATACGCATAGTGCACATGGGACAAGCCCTCCTGTGGTCAGACAAGTATGGAAACGTCACATTCAACTTTGTATTTTGTGTAGTGTGCCTGTGCTAAGAGTAATTTGCCTTAAGTGCTATTTTCAACAACACACGGGAATGATCTAGCTTCTGGCATCAGCCTGTGTAAAAAACTGAAAACCAAAACCCTTCTGTCGCACTTAGATTTCATAATCAAGCCTTGGTAGAAGTCAGCATCCTCAATGCTCTACGGCAAAAGGATGAAGACAATGCTCACAATGTCGTCCACATGAAAGAATATTTTTACTTCCGTAATCATTTCTGCATTTCCTTTGAACTGTTAGGGTAAGACAACTTTTCCTTATCTATAATAACAATTATGTAAACTGTTGTGTATATTTATGCCCAAATTGGGGGCATGGGAGGGGAAGCAATCATTAAGTATTCACATTTCCATTCCACAAGCATAGACATCTCTTTCAGCAGTATAATGGAGATCTGGTCATTGCTCTGTATCGAGTTGCATATTGCGGATCCACTTATAATTTTTGAACGTATGAAACTGCCTCATATGGAGCCTGATCATTCAAGCATTGTTCATTGTGCCAATCCTGAGGGAGTAGTCCATTGGATGCCCCTTGATCCATGGGTTCCATGGGGAATAGGCCCAAATGTGAGTCCCAGTTATTAGCAAGATTCATAATAGTGCAGTGCCTTTGGCTTTAATTGAGGATTCCTACAGCCATGAAATTAAAAGACACCTGCTTCTTGGGAGAAAAGCAATGACAAACCTAGACAGCATCTTAAAAAAGCAGAGACATCACCTTGCCAACAAAGGTCCATATAGTTAAAGCTATGGTTTTCCCAGTAGTGATGTACGGAAGTGAGAGCTGGACCATAAAGAAGGCTGATCGCCCAAGAATGGATGCTTTTGAATTATGGTGCTGGAGGAGACTCTTGAGAGTCCCATGGACTGCAAGAAGATCAAACTGATCCATTCTGAGCCCTGAGTGCTCACTGGAAGGACAGATCCTGAAGCTGAGACTCCAATACTTTGGCCACCTCATGAGAAGAGAAGACTCCCTGGAAAAGACCCTGATGTTGGGAAAGATGGAGGGCACAAGGAGAAGGGGACGACAGAGGACAAGATGGTTGGACAGTGTTCTCGAAGCTACCAGCATGAGTTTGACTAAACCGGGAGGCAGTGGAAGACAGGAGGTGCCTGGCGTGCTCTGGTCCATGGGGATCATGAAAAGTCGGACACTACTAAACGACTAAACAACAACAACATCACACTTTCCCCAGGCAATACACTTTGGGGGGTTCTTTTGAGAGACGGCCACTGTAGATGCCCAGAGTTCAGCCTGGTCTCAGTATTTTTGGTAGGCGGGGGCTAGGGCCTCACTAACTTCTGAGCAGGCCTGGCCTGAGACATATCCCGTCGCTGAAACAGGCTCTCACCATCTTTGGCATTTCCAGTCGCTCCTGGTAAATCATGCAAAACTAATTTTCAGAGTCTAAAAAACAATCTAATTTTCCCCCTTTCCCTCTTCTTTTTGTGTAGACTGGAATGCATGTATTATGAGCCCTTAAAATATTTAGAAACTCCAACTTTTATATCTTTAAAATGAATACACATGCGCACACACATTTGAAGTTGATTTGAAGTTGATACTGGAGGTTTTTAAGCAGAGGTTAGATGGCCATCTGACATAGGTGCTTTTGTCGAGATTCCTGCATTTCCCTCCCATTTCCACATTTCTACGGTTCTATTCTTTTGAATAACCATAATGAAAGATGGTGGTTTTCTGTCATCTGAGAACCCAAGCTGTCCTGGTACGGTTTGCTGTGGTATGGTAGAACTAATTTCCTACCGGGAAGATTTTTACAGTGTTCCAGTGTTGTACTCCTTGGAAGTGATCTTTTTTGATGAAACTTTCAGAGTATTTACAGCCATGGGCTCCTTTGGAAGGAAGATCTGGGTGAAATCTTAATAAATAAATTATATAGAAATTAGAAGTCATTAAGGGGACCTATCAAGGCATTTGACCAGCTTCGGTGCATGGTAACTGCCCAATTCAGTTTTTACTCCATTCATCATTAGCTTCACAGTGCTCAGCAGCTGCCATTAGAGATGCTGAAACTTTTATGAGGTAACTAGATAGCCATACTTTTTCTCTGAAGGATGTAAATATTCTGACATGGTCTTGGACTTTAAGTGCCTTGTGTTCAGATTTTATCCTTTCAGTCAGAGGTAGAATAAAGGAATATATATTTCCTGCCGTTTAAAATTGTTCACAGTATAATGTGTAAATGTTTTTCCCCCTCTCATCCCACAGTATAAATTTGTATGAACTAATCAAGAAAAATAATTTCCAAGGTTTTACACTGGGTTTGATTCGTAGATTCACCCTGTGTATATTAAGATGCTTACAGTTGTTGTACACAGAAAAGATTATTCACTGTGATCTAAAGCCTGTAAGTACAGCCATTTTTATATATCATTGCAGATTTTGTGTAATGAAGCATAGTCCAAGTCTTTAAAGGTAAAGGGACCCCTGACAGTTAAGTCCAGTCGCGACTGACTCTGGGGTTGCAGCGCTCATCTCGTTTTAAAGGCCGAGGGAGCCGGCGTTTCTCTGCTTCCGCAGTGTTTTTCTGGGTCATGTGGTCAGCATGATGAAGCTGCTTCTAACGAACCAGAGCAGCACATGGAAACGCTGTTTACCTTCCCGCCGCAGTGGTGCCTATTTATCTACTTGCACTGTGTGCTTTCGAACTGCTAGGTTGGCAGGAGCTGGTGACTGAGCAATGAGAGCTCACCCCGTCGTGGGGATTCGAACCGCCGACCTTCCGATCAGCAAGTCCAAGCGGCTCAGTGGTTTAAACCACAGCACCACCCGCGTCCCTCTAGTCCAAGTCTTTAGACAAGACTAAAGATTATTGTTTCCAAAATTGCATAACATTATTTTTCTCTCCCTCACTTGAGATCTTCTGGGCCCCTCGTCAGTGGCTAATTTTTAACTCTCATGCACATTATGGATTGTTATTTACACCAAGGAGTAGAAAAATATGTAAACATTTTCCCCCGCCCCAAACTGTGTTGTTTCATATTCTGTGTATTCTACTGCAAAATGGTTAGGTCTGTGGCATTCCCCCCCCCGTGTATGTGTGTGTGTGTGTGTGTGTGTGTGTGTGTGAGAGAGAGAGAGAGAGAGAGAGAGAGAGAGAGAGAGAGAGTGCTTCTGTGTAATGAGTTCATTTCAATGAATGGGGTCAGTTAGGTCCTAACAAGATGGGACATTATGTATGTATTTGCATTTAACATGCACTTTAAAAAACAACAACAAATAGTAGGTGCTGGGGGTGATAACTGCTGCAAGTAGCAAAGGGGAATTTAACCTTTATCTTCTTGATTTCTATCCTGTCAAAAAATAATAATGCTCCTCTGAAACTGCTATTTGCATTGGAAGGAAAACTCCCATTGTCACTATTTAATGTTATGTCTAGCTTGACTAGACCTCATTGGGTGGACGCAGGTCTACCCAAGGGACACGGGTGGCGCTGTGGGTTAAACCACAGAGCCTAGGACTTGCTGATCAGAAGGTCGGCGGTTCGAATCCTCATGACGGGGTGAGCTCCCGTTGTTCGGTCCCAGCTCCTGCCCACCTAGCAGTTTGAAAGCACGTCAAAGTGCAAGTAGATAAATAGGTACCGCTCCGGCGGGAAGGTAAACAGCGTTTCCGTGCGCTGCTCTGGTTTCGCCAGAAGCGGCTTAGTCATGCTGGCCACATGACCCGGAAGCTGTACACCGGCTCCCTCGGCCAGTAAAGCGAGATGAGCGCCGCAACCCCAGAGTCAGTCACGACTGGACCTAATGGTCAGGGGTCCCTTTACCTTATACCTAGCTTGACTAGACCTCATTGAAAGTAAAAGGAAGTGATGAAATACTGAGGTATAGATGACTCTCATATGGTTAGGCATTTAACACCACAATAGCTGTTTTATGTTGATGCAGCAGTGATGTTTGGAAAGCTTTAACCATTCAGTGAATTTTTCAAATCACTGAGTGTCATATGACCAAGTATATAGACCAAAGCATTAGCTTATGTTAGAGATATGATGCTTATTTCAGTTTCCTCTAGTACAGGCTCCTAATGAAGGCCTGTTTTCTATGAGACACTGTCTATAATAAAAACACTTTCCCTTGTAATTGGTCTGCTGCCACCCTTAGCCTGGCTTAAATGTGCCATTTGGTTTATAAAAAAAATGTATATTTGTTCATGCAGGGTTCTATATGCTCAATGTTAGAGAACTGAGAGCTGAAGTTGGTGGAAGTGACCCCCATCAAGGAAGGCGTTTCTAATTCCTTCCCAGATTAGCCCAGCAGGTTTATGTGGCCCCTCTACAGTTATGCAGCAGTTGATTCCCTTTCTGGGGCTAATTTTCATGGCTCGTATGGAACATGATAAAGTCTCAGGGAGGCATGTTCTCAGTGTGGCTGACTAACCTGCCCTTCTCTGCCCTGGTCTCTGCCCTTCTGAGCTAAGTATTCAAAGGTGCCAGGGCAGGGGTCAGCAAACTTTTTCAGCAGGGGGCCGGTCCACTGTCCCTCAGACCTTGTGGGGGGCCGGACTATATTTTGAAAAATATATATGAATGAATTCCTATGCCCCACAAATAACCCAGAGATGCATTCTAAATAAAAGGACACATTCTACTCATGTAAAAACACACTGATTCCCGGACTGTCCGCAGGCCAGATTTAGAAGGCGATTGGGCCGGATCCAGCCCCCGGGCCTTAGTTTGCTTACCCATGTGCTAGTGAATGGTCAGTACTTCTTCAGAATGTAGCCATGTGAGCAAAATGGCAACCTATAATTTATAAGCATTGTTTGAGTTCTTGCTGATAGATCAGCATTCCTGTATGAACACTCCATCCACAAAATAAGTCACACCTAAAAGAGGAGGTCAAAGATGCTGGGATTTCTCACCAGACACCACCATATACAGTGGTACCTCGGGTTAAGAACTTAATTCGTTCTGGAGGTCCGTTCTTAACCTGAAACTGTTCTTAACCTGAAGCACCACTTTAGCTAATGGGGCCTCCTGCTACTGCCATGCCACCGGAGCACGATTTCTGTTCTCATCCTGAAGCAAAGTTCTTAACCCGAGGTACTATTTCTGGGTTAGCGGAGTCTGTAACCTGAAGCATGTGTAACCTGAAGCATCTGTAACCCGAGGTACCACTGTGTTTGCAGGCTGGTTGTTTTCCCCCTGTAAAAATGTTTTCCTGTTAGTTTGCTAACCTGATAGATGTGTATTGATATTTTTTCTCCCCCTTCTTCGCTTTCCCTCATTTTAGGAGAACATATTAATAAACCAACCCCAACCTGGGCAGGTTTCATTTAAAGTTATCGACTTTGGATCAAGCTGCTATGAACACCAAAGAGGTTTGCAGAAAAGTCAAGTAGATGTAATTTTCTTTATTAGATTTCTTAATTTTTGATTTATTTACTTATGTACTTCGAACTCCACATCTTCAGTATAAATTTATAATCCTGGGGCAGCTCACAAGGGAGTAAGAAACAAAGGCACAATGAATTTTTTAAATAGTTTTTTTAAGTAAAAAGGGAAATCAACTGTTAAGTTGTGGGTGAACATATCAGACAACACAGCGATTCTTCAAACAGCTCTTGTTTATTCACAGGCCAGAACAGAACTGAACTGAAGGGTTCAGCCAGCCTGCTTATATAGAGCTCCAGTACAACATAACTGTAATAACTTTCTAAAACTATCCAATCACTGAACGTCACTTTCGATCCCTTCTTTGCATAACTATCTACAGTATCCCCCTGCTGGCCCAGGGTGAGAACTTCAGTACATAACATCAACACTGGCCTCTGTCCCTCTTTCCTTCCCTCCCTCCTCTGATGCCCTTTCACATTTCTGCCCCCCATTGGATTGCATGGCTGTTTGTTGCAGCAGCCCTGGCTACAAGCGCCTCAGCTGAATGGTGCCTCTGGGGCTGCCCGGGGGGCGGAGAGTGCCGGGAGCGGAGGCAGCCTTGGAGTAAGCAAGCAAGTGGGTGAGGGTCCCCAACCAGCCAGTCCTCGCAGTTGGGAATGGACAAACTAGTGGGATAACGGGCAAGCAGGTGTTCCACTAGCCTTTCTTGTGCTTACTGTGTGCATGGCCTGCGTGGGAGCTGAGTTGCATGTTGAGGCCCCGAGACCACATCCACGTTGATGAATAAGACACAAGGACACAGGTATTAGGTTAATGTTATTGGGTAAATTTAGGCCACAACTTTATTGGTTACAGAATGTGAGTGGTATTGGCTTAGGCACATAGCTATCAACCGTCCCTTATTTGGCGGGAAAGTCCCTTATCCCAGCGCCGTGTCCCGCTGTTGTCCCTTATTGATGATGTCCCTTAAATTTCCCGGGTTTCAAAGGAAGCAGCTCCTCTCCCTCCCTCCCTGCCAGCCAGGGAGGAGAGAGACTCCAACTGTGTTGCTTGGCTGCGTTGCTCACCCAATAAAGAGTCTAAGAACGACTGGTGGGTGGAGCTTGCATGCCTTGTGCCGATCAAATCGGCTGCATTGCCTGGGGACTCGCCTTTGCTCAGCGCTTCCCAGCGGAGAGGTGACAGTGGTTTTCCTTGCTGCATCCCCTTTGCTGGGTTGCTGCGCTGTGGGAACCACCACTTGAGGCTTCGTTTGGCTGCTGGCTGGGTTTCTGCCTTTGGCTCGGAGGGGCTCAGAAGTTGAACATACCTGTGCCTGAAAAATCCCTTATTTTGGCTGCTGATCCCTTATTTTCGAGGCTGCTGGTCCCTTATTTTCCAAATCTGTAAGTTGACAGCTATGCTTAGGCATTGGAATTGACCTGACTATATCTGACTCCTGCCCGTCACACAGGGAGTCCAGTAAGGGTCAATCACCTGTAGGGGGAGCCCCGTTGATGCAAACCAACTCGAGCTCCCCTTAGGTTCCCGACGGGGTCGTGGCATGGCCCTAGCCCAGCCCCAGACTTTGGACAAGATCCACACCCCCGGATTCCTTTAACGGAATACCCTTAAGCTTGGAGGGGCAGGTGATGGCCACACCTCTCCTCCCCCAGAGCCAGTGTGGTGTAGTGATTAAGAGCGGTGGACTTGTAATCTGGAGAACCGGGTTCGCGTCTCCGCTCCTCCACATGCAGCTGCTGGGTGACCTTGGGCCAGTCACACTTCTCTGAAGTCTCTCAGCCCCACTCACCTCACAGAGTGTTTGTTGTGGAGAAAGGGAAAGGAGATTGTTAGCCGCTTTGAGACTCCTTTGGGTAGTGATAGAGGAATATCAAATCCAAACTCTTCTTCAAACCAATGCCTAACTGCCACACGAGCCCAAGGCTCGCCACCAAATACTCTCACACCTGCAATTAGTCCTTCACACACTCTCCAATCCGGCTCACGCCTGAGTTCAAATGGCTGGCAGACAAATGACATGGCTGGGAACCTCCGGGGGACGCGGGACTTTGTCCCCCGCCCCCGGAGGGGAGTGGGTGGCCACGTGGTCCACCGCAACACCTCCCCACTGGGAAGCGGAGCAGATTTCCCAGTGCTGAAGGGGAGTTTTTCCACCATGCAGGCCAGGCAGCGCCCACGGCTGCCTCCCCAGGTGAGTAAGATGCTGGCCTCATGTTCACCTTGGCCAGTCTCTATTGGGCCCCTGAGGCTGGGGGCATCCTCTTCCCAAACTCCTGGGGGGCGTCGTGAGGAGGTACCTCTCTTGGGGGTGGATGGGGCATCTCAGAGACCAGGGTCGGTGGTGGCTGCTGCCCAGAGGACTCCCAGAGAGAGGAGAGAAGAGGCTGAGGGAACACTCCACAAGGGAGGGTGTTCAAAAAGGGGTGAGAGGCTGCCCGCTCCTGAGCCCCACAGGGGTGACGCAGAAAGAATGTAGTTGGTCAAGTGAGCCATGGACCCAAAAAGGCTGAAAACCTGTGAGCTAGAATATCAACTTTTGCTATATTGATAGTTCAACACACTGTCTTCTAGAAACGTATATATAAATGAATAGACTGCAGAAAGAATGTAGTTGGTCAAGGGAGCCATGGACTCAAATTGGTTGGAAACCTGTGGTCAAGACCTCTGGTCAAAACCAAAATGATGGGACTTAAGATGATGAGCTTAGGGACTTGCATCGAGGCGAGGATCGGTGGCAATGGAAGTGGAGATGATTTACATGTCCAATGTTTCCCCCCCTGCCTTTTTATTCCAGTGTATACGTATGTCCAGAGTCGATTTTATCGTTCCCCAGAAGTGATTCTTGGTCACCCCTATGCAACCCCTATTGACATGTGGAGCCTAGGGTGCATTATGGCTGAACTCTACACAGGGTACCCACTTTTTCCTGGGGAGAATGAAGTGGAGCAGCTTGCATGCATTATGGAGGTAACTTCTGATCTTAATATTAGCAGGTGTGCAGGAACAACCCAGGCTCTAAAGAACAAGTTTAGCTCTACACAGGAACTTACGCATGCTCACAAAGGGGATTTCTTTCTTTCTTGCAACATCGCAAGTAGTTCTTGAAACTCCTCTAAGATTTGTCACATAAAGTTCCACTTTATTCCTTACTAGTTTGGCTTCATCTGGAAAACTGTGCACCTTTAGAAGGATATGTAGATGTTGGGAGTGTTCAGAGCAGGACAACAAATATGGAAGGCTGGGCTGATTTCTCCTGGAGAAGACAAGGCTGAGGTGATAGCATTCTTCAGATATCTGAAAGGGTTGGAAAACAGCAAGGACCTGTCGCCTGCTACTCCAGAAGGCAAGATTAGGTCTTGTGGACTTAAGGTACAGGAGGGTAGATCTCAGTTGACTATCAGGAGAAACTTCTTAAAGGTAACAGCATTTGGCAATGGGAACAATTATCTTGAGAGGTGCTGCAGTCTCCCTAAATGGAGGTCTTTGGTGGTTGGACAGCCATCTGTGAGAGATGCTCTTGGGGTTTCCTGCAGAAAGCCAGGGGGTGGGACAATGTGTCCTCCAACTGCGAATCAGATACCATGCAGAGGTTTACTCTTCCAGAGACACAACCCCATGGAAGTGTGGTCACGGTTCATACCCTCTCCAACAATTCCCCCCCCCCTACTCTCAACCTGCCTTCCATGCTTCAAGTCATCAATGTCCTTCCAGGCATACACATCCTTTACATGTAATGGTACTCCTCCTTTCTGTTTGATCCATGCCTTTTGAACAAGTTATCACCCTCACCATGTTTCAGTCATGCTTGTTCACATGAAACGAAGGCATCTCTTTCATTACCTGTGAATTTTATCCGTGCGCCTTTATTAAAGTCTGAGGAATTCAACGTGTCAGACAAAAATGATGTCTACCACAAACATTTTAAACACAAATTAGCTAGCGTATGTCTCGGAAGATGCACACACACAGTTGTTTTCTGTACAAAATATGAAATAAAATGTTGCATTTCAGTAATGACTTGCATACAAGTGGCATTACACTGGCATTAGAGTGCCTGTAAAATGTTTAATATCCCCACAGGAACTCATACAACCCAGAACACAAAGACCAAAATATCACCTAGTGACGGGGAATTGAAATGTGGGATAATAACACAGACCTGTTGGGTGCTTCAAGGATTATGTGTGTGAAGTGATTTAAACACTCTAATTCCCAAGTCTTAAAAGCCCCTTTATGGCATGCAACAGGCCCATAGAGTTGACCCAGAAAAAGGAGGGCAGCACTCTTTGTGAAGAACATGAAACTCAAAATGTACCATTTAACAGATACACTCTCATTTGAATATAAAAGTCAGTTTGTAAATTGATTTAGATGCACAGAGATTTTATTAGTTCCAGCCCAGTTTTTAAAGATAGTTTTAAACTTTATTTCTGTTTCCTGATACGTTAGTTCTCCCTCCCAGTTTTGTGCCAGGCATAACTTTCATTTTTAGCCGTTGATAACCCATACCAGCTCCCTACCTTGCAGAAATCCACTATGTGGAATACCGCAGACTTCTTACAGCGGCTAGATTAAATGTCCTTGGCTCTGCGATATTGTGGGGAAGGTACAGGGGAGTACCATACGCCCAGAGAACCTGTCATTGTGCCGTGGGTGTGGTTGAGTCCACCGAACACATTCTCTTGACTTGCCCTTCCTATGCAGAGCTTAGACAAAATTTTATAGACCCACTCCTATGTCAATTTAGCTTCCCACCCGGAGAAAACCAGGTTTTATACTTGCTGAATAATGTCACTAGAGCTATACCTTCCTTGGTGGCCAAATTTCTTTTTTTAGCTTTTAAGCGTCGCAAGACTATAATTGACTGTATTGATATGGGACTATCTGCTTAGCCCATTTTAGTGTTGGCTAAGTTCTAAAATCTTCCTGGATGTTTTAACTGTGTATTGACAAATGTACTTTTTTCTGACTGACGGTTGAATAAAAAGGTTGACTTGACTAGCCGTTGATAACGGTGATGAGGAGTATCAGATCCAGTACAGGTGGATACCACCAGTTAGATTGAAACCATTGATGAGTTCCTCAAAACACTTATTTTTACTGTTTGTGGTATTCCCCCCCCCCCACTTTTCAATTGACTGCAATAAAATTAAAAAGGGCTCAACCATCATATCCACATGTCCTTCCTGTTAAAGGTGTAAGACCATTAATTTGTTATATACTTAACAGAGGTGCTCTTCAGGCTGACTTTTTGTGTGTGTTAAAGATACTAGGTCTTCCACCAGCCGATTTCATTCAGACTGCATCAAGAAGGCGAACGTTCTTTGGTAAGTCCCTTGCTGTTATTGTCTTACTCGCATAGTGCCCATCATTATGGTGGACAGGGCATTTGTGGGAGAAAGACCTTCATATTGTATGGTGCTTTGTGCAAGAGGGGCCGCAATGCACATTTATATTCTCTAGATACACACCCCAGCCTCTGAGTGGCGCAGATTTCAAGGGTGCTAACACACGCCTTCGGTTTCGTTTTCTTGGAATTAAGAGCAGTGCAGACTGCAGCTTGTCTACATTCATTTAGTGCTCTTTGTTCTTATCATGCCATCTGGGTTTGTGCTTTTGCAGTTTGGGCTCGGACTATAGCGGGCATGTTGACTCTGTTGCCAGGCTTTGGTCTGTCGAGCCGAAAAAATATCAAGCTATAGCTTGAAAATGTTGCGGCTGATGTCAACTCTAATGCAATCATCTGCCCACGCAGCACATTGAAATGGCACAGAGAAGAAGAATGGTGTTTGTTTTTAAACTTCCTATATTATATGTTCCATAATATTATATGCAGTTGCTTTAATTAAGCCAGTTTCTAAATTAATGCCCCTTCCACAAATTAAATAGTATTTATTTGCCGTCTCCCCATTTGAGAGTCTGCATTATTATTCACACATACACAAACCCTGCTCCAGCCCCCCTTCACTTCAACCAGCAATCTCACCCCTGGATCATTTTTTTGCCTTCATGACACAAACATCTAAACAGTATTCATTTATAATTCAACTCAGCATTTTCTTCTTGGATGGGACTACCTAAAATACCTTCCTCATTTCCCTCACAGATGGATATTTAATCTTTTAACTGTTGCTGTATTTGCCTGAGTTATCCAGGTGTTTTATCTTACAACAAAATAAAATTAGTATTTTGGTACTAATTTAGTGGGGTTTCCAAAACAAGGGCATCATTTCCAATAAAAGCCATGCCCCAGTATTGGAACACAAATTTCCCACAGAAAACCAGTTGCTCCCTTACTATTCTAGTGCATTTCCAGGTTGAATTCAAAGTACCTCTGAAGTCTTACTGCACCCAGGAGCCCAGGGAATCAGAAGAACTGCCTGCTCCCATATAAGCGTGCCTGCCCTCTAAGATCTCCCCAGGCTCTACTCCAGCTGCCCCCTTCAAGCATTATGAGAGCCAGTGTGGTGTAGTGGTTAAGAGTGGTAGACTTGTAATCTGGTGAACCGGGTTCGCGTCTCCACTCCTCCACATGCAGCTGCTGGGTGACCTTGGGCCAGTCACACTTCTCTGAAGTCTCTCAGCCCCACTCACCTCACAGAGTGTTTGTTGTGGGGGAGGAAGGGAAAGGAGAATGTTAGCTGCTTTGAGACTCCTGAAGGGGAGTGAAAGGCGGGATATCAAATCCAAACTCCTCCTCCTCCTCCTCCTCCTCCTCCTCCTCCTCCTCCTCCTCCTCCTCCTCTTCTTCTTCTTCTTCTTCTTCTTCTTCTTCTTCATGGGCTGGGGATCAAGCATTTCTGTGTTGGCCTTGTGGACTGTGGAATAGGCCTCCCAGAAATATCATTTATTTTATCTTTAGGCACCAAGTTACTCTCTTGTGCTTTTGGAAAGCAATAATAAAGTATCTATTGCTAGTTTACTGTTGCACTGGGTTTCCTTTGTCGTAATACATTTAGAGGGGACGCGGGTGGCGCTGTGGGTTAAAGCCTCAGCGCCTAGGACTTGCCGATCGAAAGGTCGGCGGTTCGAATCCCCGCGGCGAGGTGCGCTCTTGCTGCTCGGTCCCAGCGCCTGCCAACCTAGCAGTTCGAAAGCACCTCCAGGTGCAAGTAGATAAATAGGGACCGCTTACTGGCGGGAAGGTAAACGGCGTTTCCATGTGCGGCTCTGGCGGAAGTGTCTCTGGACAGCGCTGGCTCCCGGCCTATAGAGTGAGATGAGCGCACAACCCTGGAGTCTGTCAAGACTGGCCCGTACGGGCAGGGGTACCTTTACCTTTACCTTTAATACATTTAGACTGATGGTTGGGGTTTGTAAAAAAAAATTGTGGATTTGAATGTAATTGTTTTATTCTGAATTGTAAACCACCTTGAAGAGATGGAAAAGTGAGATGTGTTTTAAGTATTTATTCATTCATTTGAAGCTTTTGTTGCAGTTTTGGCTGCAATACATAAATATTAAAGCACTAAATCGTTAATCTCCGAGAGATTTTTCTGTGAGTGAAAATTACTGGTTTTGTGAACAACATTGGCACTCTTCTGGATCAGAGATGCAAACTGTTAGTCTATGCTGCCAAAATCTTCCCAGGTCTCTGATGGTTCTTCTAATCTTCTAATCAAGGTGGGTTTTAAGTTTACCCACAGAGCCAAAAGCTTCATGTAAGCTCTGCACTGTAAGGTATTTTTCTGTACATGTGAATTAAGCAAAGTTACACCTGGGGTCATTTGCTTCATTTCTAGGAATTCCTGGCTCCTAACGGCACCACATTTGTTATGGAGTCTGACCATAAAAATAAGGAATCGGTTTTTATGGCAAAATGCACTTCCAATTGAATAGGGTGGATCCCAACATTACAGCGCTGGACATCCCTGTTCTAAATAAATATCATCTGGGCAGACTTAAATCTTCTGTGGATTTACCCTTCCAGCATCAAAACTTTAAATATTGTGCAAATGTGTATACAGTTTTAAAATCTTTCTTTTCTGTTTTAAAGATTCCAGCGGTTCTCCAAAGAATCTTACAAATAGTAGGGGGAGAATAAGAAACCCGAACACAAGGGAACTGAGCGCTGTATTGAAAACGTATGATGGTGCATTTCTGGATTTTCTGAAAAAGTGCCTTGTGTAAGATAGCTTTCATTTGTTTTGCCCATTGCATATATAGGCTCTTAAATCCTCCTTTTCTGTCCTTAAGTTAAATGTCTGGCGCTCAGTTATGGTAGCAAGGTTTATTTTGATTTGCTAATTCCCCATATTGCCAGAGTATGTAATGAAAATGTTTTGTGGAAGGAAGCAGCATATTTCACACGGGACTCCAGGAGTTCTTTGGAAGTTTGTCAGAGGTTTCTCAGTTAGTATATCAGTCCTGGTGAACTTTCCTGAAAAGCGGCTTGGCTACCACTGCATTATCTCCCCAAAGAATGTGCAACTTTAAAGAACATATTGGATGTGTTCCAAGTGGCTGGTTCACACCATGGGCTAATGGAGAGTTATCCTATTTATGTTTTCCATAAACTTGCTTGGGCCCCATGGCAGACATGCAGGGAAGAGGTTCGTTGATAGACAAGTTTTAAAACCACTAAGTTAGGGTGATACTAGATGGGATCACAGTCAGCATGTGAGCTGAGTTGGCAGAATTAAAGACATGATTTTAGAAGTGTAAGGCCACAGTCACTTGGTGGCTTGGGAGTTATTGGTGGCTGGCTGCAAAGGTGGCTAAAGTTAGATCTATTGCCCTTGAAGCTCTGCCTCCCAGGACCCACCTGACTCCTTTCAATGCCTGTTTTGGACTCGATGGCCCTTGTGGTCTCTTCCAACTCTATGATTCTAATGATTCTATAAGGCTCTGACCGACTAGGAACCATCTGACTCATTTTAATGCCTGTTTAAACTTACCTATGCATTCTGCCATTCCCAAACTGATCTCCCTCATCTATCTTTCTTCTTTGTTTTGCCTCCTTTCCGGCTCTAAGGGAGAAGAGGTCCTCTGCCTTTTTAGGGGTGCAGTGCCTATATATTAGACACTCAGATATTTGCAGAGTGTATTATGTGATGTGCAGTGATGAAACTGCTGTGAAAATGCAATTACTGACACAGGTGGCGCTGTGGTCTAAACCACAGAGCCTAGGGCTTGCCGATCAGAAGGTTGGTGATTCGAATCCCCGCGACGGGGTGAGCTCCCGTTGCTCGGTCCCAGCTTCCTGTCCACCTAGCAGTTCGAAAGCACGTCAAGTGCAAGTAGATAAATAGGTACTGCTCTGGCGGGAAGGTAAATGGCGTTTCCGTGCACTGCTCTGGTTCGCCAGAAGCGGCTTAGTCCTGCTGGCCACATGACCCGGAAGCTGTATGCAGGTTCCCTCAGCCAATAAAGCGAGATGAGCGCCGCAACCCCAGAGTTGTCCGCGACTGGACCTAACGGTCGGGGGTAAAGGTAAAGGGACCCCTGACCATTAGGTCCAGTCGTAACCGACTCTGGGGTTGCGGTGCTCATCTCGCTTTACTGGCCAAGGGAGCCGGCATACAGCTTCTGGGTCATGTGGCCAGCATGACTAAGCCGCTTCTGGCGAACCAGAGCAGCGCACGGAAATGCCCTTTACCTTTCCGCCGGAGCCGTACCTATTTATCTCCTTGCACTTTGACGTGCTTTCGAACTGCTAGGTTGTCAGGATCAGGGACCGAGCAACAGAAGCTCACCCCGTCGCGGGGATTTGAACCACCGACCTTCTGATCGGCAAGTCCTAGGCTCTGTGGTTTAACCCACAGCGCCACCCCCCAACGGTCGGGGGTACCTTTACCTTTTAAGGTCATACCATATGAGTATGGTGTTTTCGTGTGCTGTCACATGTAGGATAATGTGAGTAATAAACCCCATATGCACATAGGTTTGTATGTGTATAATACATGTGCATCGTGCTCCATACTGATGTTCTCCATATGTTTTATGTCAAGATGGAAACCTTCCCTGCGCATGACTCCGGAAGATGCAATGCACCACTCCTGGATGCAGGACCCATGGTTACATAAAGCGAAACAAAAGCCCAAGCCTACGACGAAGTCAGGCGAGGCAGAGAAGAAGAAGGAAAATGCCCATAAAAGTGCTCAGCCAGAAAAAGGTGGACTCCTAGTTCTTGGTTCTTTCTTCCCCCCCAAATGAATTGTCTTTAAATAGGTATTTCAGAGGGAGACAAACCAAAACCAAAACACCAGGAAGCACCTGCCAAGTTCAGCAGCATCATGAGGTCTCCTTCTCTCTCTTTGGCAGTTTGCATGTTATGGAAACCAGAAAGGCCACGTTATGGGATACTAGTAGCTGAACCCAGCTTCCTAAGAATTCCAACTCCAAATAAAGAAGCAGCAGCAAGTTTCCATCCTTTATGGTCGAAAAGATATGTTTGAAATAGTCAGTGCCAGAGGACTTGTTGCATAAGAATTTTCAGTGATTGTACGGTGGGGCTGCAGCACAATATATGCCCCCCATGATGGGCAGAAGCAGGGGAAAATATGAAAAATAAAACTATTTTCATGTAATTTATTGCAAAATTGCATAGGGCTTTGAAAAACAGATTATACAAAAGAATAGAAACAATGCACATTTATTGAATTTGCATAACCTATAAATTTCACAGAATCTATTTGGTTACCTTGCCGCGCATTTTGTTGCTTTCTACCCAGCTCAGTTTTCTGGTCCCCTAAAGTGTGGTGGGACGCGGGTGGCGCTGTGGGTAAAAGCCTCAGCGCCTAGGGCTTGCCGATCGAAAGGTCGGCGGTTCGAATCCCCGCGGCGGGGTGCGCTCCCGTTGCTCGGTCCCAGCGCCTGCCAACCTAGCACTTCGAAAGCACCTTCGGGTGCAAGTAGATAAATAGGGACCGCTTACTGGCGGGAAGGTAAACGGCGTTCCGTGTGCTGCGCTGGCTCGCCAGATGCAGCTTTGTCACGCTGGCCACGTGACCCGGAAGTGTCTCCGGACAGCGCTGGCCCTCGGCCTCTTAAGTGAGATGGGCGCACAACCCTAGAGTCTGTCAAGACTGGCCCGTACGGGCAGGGGTACCTTTACCTTTTTAAAGTGTGGTGAGCACGATAAAAAGTATAATGTGACCGTGCTTCTCTGTTCAGGTACCCCCAGGGAGTAGGTTGCACCTGTGTGGGCAGTTTCTGAAAGCAGAGGGCCGTGCAATTGCCACATCACAAGTGCTCTCAAGCTCTGGTGTCTATGGCTGCGCCTCGCAAATGGAAAGGACCCCGCATAGCCCCCCTGTTAGGATATAGTTTCCGTTCCACCTAAAAAGTCAGCATGACTGTTGTGCGTCACATGCCTGTTTACTTCCTGCTCACAGGGAGTTTCCGTTTTGTATAAAGCTTTTGTTCCAGCTGTTTTCCAGGACACGGATGCAAGCAGTCATGTTTTTCCTTTGTTCTGACCTACGCTGAATAAAGCTGTAAATATGCTCTTCTGTCTGAATCTTCTGTTGCGGAAACTGCTGAATTTAATGATTATCTAGTTAAATTTGTCAAGTTAAATTAACTGAAAATAACTTGCAGATACTTAATTGGCTTAGGATTTCATTTATGTTAAGTGACGAATTAATATGTTTAATTCCATAAGGTGAAGATTTAAGGATGTTAATGTTTAAGTTAAATTTCATAAGAATTGGGATTTGGAAAACCGTTAAAAGGACATGCAATGAAATTCAACCAAGGGGAAGCAAGGAAGTCACTTAACAAAGTTAAAAAGTGTAATTTTCAATAAGGCTATGATTTATGTTTGTTTGTCTTGTGGGTTTGTTTGTTTATAATATTGTGAAAGCTAATAAATTTTTTTTTTGGAAAAAAAGGAAAGAAACTGATGTGGGGTGGAAGAGGGAATGAACTGAAAATGTAAACATCATTTTCCTTGGGTGTGTCCTCCAGTTCTGAGACCAAGTCAAGATATGTACACACAAACACACACGCTATTTGCTTTGGGGTTGGAGGAAGTCTGTCTTCTGCTACTGAAGCCATCACTTTGATACATTTGCTAAGAAAACACAGCCCATTTGATGTCTGTTTCCTGAGCCCAGTTCCCCCTCACCACCAGTTGTTTCAGGGATAGAGGTTGGTCGCCTATGTTTGCCGTGGTAAGAGAGGGAGAAAGGAGGGACTGAGAACAGAGGAAGCTTTATCTCCCCAGGGATTGATTATTAAGGAGGAGAGAGTCCTTTAGTGATGGACAGCTACATGTTTGTAGTGTGGAGAGACAAAACGGGAAGGTCCCACCCTCTCGGCTCCACTTGCACGGTGATGGTAGCTTCCAGAGACATCTCACAGAACTATCTCGAGATCTCGCTGGAAGCTGCTGCTGTCGCCATTTCTCCTTGCTTCTCTGGCGGTTGGTGAGCAAAGGTGTTCATGGGATTCTGCCGCCCAAGATGGCGGCTTCCGTCAGCCTCATGGGCCCTGGTGGTGTACTAGAAATACTGGTTTTTGTTACACATCTCAACCTTCCTGTTCTTTCAGCCCACTGCACTTATACCTGTTTAGGGAAGCTTTTAATGTTTGATGAATTATTGTATTTTAATGTTTTGCTGGAAGCCACCCAGAGTGGCTGGGGAAACCCAGCCAGATGGGTGGAGTATAAATAATAAATTATTATAAATTATTATATTACTACCTGCACCACTCACAGAAACCTCAAGCAGGTCCAGGTATCTCTAGCAGAGGCTGCCTCCCTGAGGCATAGCCCTCCAAACAAATCTCAGAGCCGCACACTCTTCCCTGTACAACATGCGTTTTACTCTTCTGTCCAAATTCAGGAAAGCTCTGTCAACCTGCTGTTCTCTGCCCATCACAATCCCAAAGCATCACTTTGAGAAAGAGGCCCCCATTATTTGTGTCTGAGGAGGGAAAAAAGGCATGCGTTTGCTGGAGGTTTCTTCTCTATCTCTTGTTGCCAGGGCTAAGCAGCAGCTTCAGTATTGGCCCAGTAGGATTGCCTTGGAGAATAGTCTGAGCATGCTCAGTGCTGGTTTCCCTAAGGCCACACCTCAAAGCACGTTCGTTGCAGCTAGCCAGGAGAAGGCTGTTGTTGTCAGTTTTGATAGCTTGTTTTTATAATTAATATTTGTCAAGAGAGAGCAATGGCAGACATGTATGTTTCTAGGTTTTTGCTTAATTGTTTGCGTTTATTTTTGTGAATGGGGAGGAGGATTGAGAGGAGAAATGTGGCTTCTGTGTGTGTTGCAACTTTCAACACTTAGATTCACAGAACTGTCAAGTTGGAAGGGACCACGAGGGTCATCTAGTCCAGTTCGCTGTAATGCAGGAATCTTTCACCCAACGTGGGGCTCGAACCCTGAGCAAATTACATGCTGCTTGATATATAACCGTATACTGTATAACCTCTATATAAAATAAGTGGTTTGCAAGAAATATTAAAATGACGAATACAGGTAAAAACAATTCTAAACTATGCCAGCATCCACAAGGCTGGATACAAAAGTGTTTTAAACAGGTGCCAAAACCTTACTTGAACACTCCTCTTTGTATTTATTGAAGTCCTAAAGCAATTCTGGATTTGCTGCTCCCTAAGGTAACACATTTTCTCTTAAATTTTGTGTCTCCCCTTTTCTGCAGATGAAACCACACGGCACCAATCTGCTGGAGAAATAAAATCTGATCCCTCTGAAAAGTTATCCATTGCGATTCAGAAATTATCTCCCATCGTAACCTCCCAAGATGCAAACGAAGAGGAAAAGGAGGATTCCAACAAGCAAGAAACTCCAGAAAAAGAAGTGGAAACCCTGGCGGACAAAACTGTTAAAAGAGAACAGAGAGACCATAGGACTGAGAAGGTCATGCACAAAAATACAAGCATCTTGCCACCCATCAAGTACAAGCAATGACTAGTCCTCTTTGCATATCATTTGTGGTCTGCTTTTAGGTAACTTTTTTGCTGTAAAATGTTCAAGAACAGAAATTTAACATAACTGTCTGTATACGGTCTGTGCACATTTCTTGGTGTGGAGGAAGATTGTGTGAGTGGAAATGGGTACTATTTTACAGTTCAAATAGAATATATTTTGCTCTGTTGAGGGACAGAAATTAATTTTGATCAGAACAAGGGTGTGTTTGAACATTTTACTTGTGAGTACTGCAAGGTGAAGACATAGGACCTCTGTCTAACCTCCAAGACATTTCTAGCACAGCTCATGGGCTGTTATTTCAGTCAGGGGTTTGTTTTTTTAAAGTGTCGTATCGTATTTTATTTATTAAATTTGTATAGCGCCATATATCCATAGATCTCAGGGTGGTTAAGGACACCAGAAGCGACAGGTGTTAAAAAAACACCCCACAACTTGAAACATTTCCCAGAAAAGAGAAAGAAAGAAAAAATCAGAAAGAGCAGCAAGATAGGGGTACCAGAGCTCTGCATTGTGACCCCAATTCAATAGATGTTGTTGTTGTTTTGCCGTTTAGTCGTGTCTGACTCTTCGTGAACCCATGGACCAGAGCACGCCAGGCACTTCTGTCCAATACTGCCTCCCGCAGTTTGATCATGAGTGATAAAGGGGCATTGTGTGAGACCCCTGTACACACACACACACATTTTAAATGCCTGTTATATATGGGATAGGGATGTGGGTGGCGCTGTGGTTTAAACCACAGAGCCTAGGACTTGCTGATCAGAAGGTTGGCGGTTCGAATCCCTGTGACGGGGTAAGCTCCCGTTGCTCAGTCCCAGCTCCTGCCAACCTAGCAGTTCAAAAGCACGTCAAAGTGCAAGTAGATAAATAGGTACCACTCCGGCGGGAAGGTAAACGGCATTTCCGTGCATTGCTCTGGTTCGCCAGAAGCGGCTTAGTCATGCTGGCCACATGACCTGGAAGCTGTACGCCGGCTCCCTCGGCCAATAAAGCGAGATGAGCGCCGCAACCCCAGAATCAGTCAGGGGTCCCATTACCTTTACCTTATATGTGCTACCATTCCAGTTTCCAAGATAATCTCTCACATGAATTGTGTAGAGATCTTGAGAAAACTTTTTCTGTGTTGTTGAAATCAAAGTTCACCCTCTGTATCCAGCGACTGACACCACAAGGCCACTGGAAGCAAAATGGCCGGCTTGTGCTCAGGTGAGAAGCAAATGGAAGGAGGGGTTTGGTGTTAGAAGCCACCCACAGAAACGTCACCACACGTGACAGGTTTCCGTCATGGTCCTCCATGCACCAGAAGCGGTTTAGTCATGCTGGCCACATGACCCAGAAAGCTGTCTGTGGACAAACATCCCCTGGCCTGAAAAGTGAGATGAGCGCTGCAACTTTGACTGGACTTAACTGTCCAGGGGTCCTTTAACTTTACCTTTTATGTTTCTAGTGAGTTTCCTGGAACAAAACAATATCTGGATCAGCCTTTCACCAGAAAGCCTCAATTCTGGGGGAGGGGTTTGCTCCCAGATCATTAACATTAAGCAAAACCAAATTCGGTTTAGCCATGACTTGGTTGGAATCTCATAATAGCACAAGGTTCCACAACGCAGATGATGTCGCAAAATGATTAAGGTAGCCATAAAATCTTGATTGCTGCGATAATATTGAAATTACTGCTTTCTCATGGAAGCACTGGAGGGAGCCATGTGGTTTTGAACTCTGTAAAGAAAGTATTTTGAGCTCAGAGGAGGAAATGATGCCTTCAGCGGGAGTGGCATCTGAACTCAGATCACCCACATAATTTTGTAAGCATTCATAAAGGATGGCTTGCAGCGTCAACTTGAAGTCTGAGGGTACGGCTGGTCCCTCTGTCAAATAACTTTTGTGCTGATGTGAAACTATAAACCATTAGTGCAGGAAGACTTCAAGGGCTCTGTGGCCTCGCTAATAAGCCTCTGCTCTAGAGAAACTGTCAGAGACGGAATATAATTCAAATAGCATTGGTGGCCAAGAATGCAGTATTTAAAACATTTGCAACAGAATAATTGCTGCAAGTAAAACAATTCAGGTCCAGGCTGCTGGATCAAGCTGCCCAGCTAAGTCCAGCATCCTGCTATCACAGTGGTCAACTGGATGCCTGTGAGAAGCCAAGGAGCGGGACATGAAACCAAGAGCTTCTCTTCCCTCCGGTGGCTTCCAGAAACTGGCATTCAGAACCATTGCTGCCTCCAGCTGTGGAGGTACAGCAGGCTTCCTCAACCTCGGCCCTCCAGATGTTTTTGGCCTAACATAATAATAATATAATAATAATTTATTATTTATACCCTCCCATCTGGCTGAGTTTCCCCAGCCACTCTGGGGCAACTCCCAATCAAGTGTTAAAAACAGTACAGCGTTAAATATTAAAAACTTACCTGAACAGGGCTGCCTTCAGATGTCTTTTAAAGATAGGATAGCTGCTTATTTCCTTCACATCTGAAGGGAGGGTGTTCCACAGGGTGGGCGCCACTACCAAGAAGGCCCTCTGCCTGGTTCCCTGTAACCTCACTTCTCGCAATGAGGGAATCGCCAGAAGGCCCTCGGCGCTGAATCTCAGTGTCCGGGCTGAACGATGGGGGTGGAGATGCTCCTTCAGGTATACATGACCGAGGCCGTTTAGGGCTTTAATGGTCAGCACCAACACTTTGAATTGTGCTCAGAAACGTACTGGGAACCAATGCAGATCTCTCAGGACCGGTGGTCCCAGTGGCCACTCCCAGTCACCAGTCTTGCTGCTGCATTCTGGATTAACTGCAGTTTCCAGGACACCTTCAAAGGTAACCCCACGTAGAGTGCATTGCAGTAGTCCAACCGGAAGATAACTAGAGCATGCACCACTCTGGCAGGCAGGTAGGGTCTCAGCCTGCGTACCAGGTGGAGTTGGTAGACAGCCGCCCTGGACACAGAATTGACCTGCGCCTCCATGGACAGCTGTGAGTCCAAAATGACTCCGAGGCTGCACACCTGGTCCTTCAGGGGCACAGTTACCCCATTCAGGACCAGGGAATCCCCCACACCTGCACACCCCCTGTACAACTCCCATGGTCCCTAGCTAGCAGAACCAGTGGTCAGGGATGATGGGAACTGTAGTATCAAAACATCTGGAGGGCCGAGTCTGAGGAAGCCTGAGGTAGAGCATAGCTGCCAAAAGCCCTCTCCTCCATGAATTTGTCTAAACTTCTTATAAAGCCATCTAAGTTGGTGGCCATCACTGGAGGAGCAAGTTCCAAAGTTTCCCTCAAAGGCCCCATTTTAGTTGAAATGCCTAGGAATGAAGACTGCTCCGCCACTTAAGTATTTTCTTTTATTCATTTGACTGCTCAGCAGGGGAAGATTTAGTAAAACTCATAACATCATATCTGACAAATGAGTGCTGTGGAAATTAATGCTGTGACAGAAGAGAAGCCTGCACTCAGAGGACGCAGGGAGAGGCCGTCTTGTTCACAGGTTTTGAAGCAGCCAGTCCAGAACTGGCAGCCGCACAAAGTTGCCCAAGGCCTCCCCCAGCTGCCTTTCCTTCTCATACTTCAGAACTGCCTGCATCACTTCTCCGACGCTGTAGCCCCTGTCCACGGCCACTGTGGAGAGTTGCTGAAGCTGTTGGGGGGGGAAGACAGTGATGAGTGTGATTTATTTGGGGAGCGTAGGGTATTGGTTCATATTCATCCACCAGAACTTTCACATTCCCACCCTCCTGCAGCATCTGTCCAATAGCCAATTTCCAAAATCATACTCTACTCAAGATGGAAGCCCAGTTTATACAATCAGGCCCAGCTTCCGCTATACTGCAGCACAGGGGTAAGTCAACATAGGGTCATCCAGCTTTTCCAAGCTAAACTTCTGTTATCCCTAACCGTTACTCATGCTAGCTGGGCCTGATGGGAGTTGTCGTCCAAAACATCTGGAAACAGAACATTGCCTAGTCAGTCAATTCTTTAACGCAGTCCAAAGACCCACAAATATATCCCAGTACATAAAAATACAAAATACATACGTACTACTTGAGCATCGGATAAAACTAAGCTTGTCCCAGACCTTTAACTAATACAAAGTGCTTTCTGATCCTGACCGCCTCAGAAAGAAACTGGCAACTGCCAAAGATATGCTTGGAATCCTATCCTCTAATAGGTGCCTAACATAAAATTGTGTGGGTTTGCAATTAAAGGAAGAATCTTTTGTTATCTGACCTGCTTGTATAGTCTGCAGGCCAGTGGAATATGCTGTATAGATTCTTCTACCTGCTTTGTATAGGGGCATAATCTAGCAGAGTAAGGAATACCCGCAAATCTGCCTTGAAGCAATTCGGAAGGAAATATATTCAGTCTGTCCTTGGTAAAAAGTCTGCGGTAGTTGACCACTGTCAAGTTCTTTAGATATTCAGCTGTGTAAAGTGTCCCAACATACTGTAAACTCACAGCTCTTGGTGAGCAGGATGAGTCTGAACGGACCTGCAGATCACCGTACACAATGGCCCACAGTTTTGTTTTTGTGGTTTAAAGGCTATGTCAAAGCCCAAGTGTTCAAGAAGAGATGGGGACAGCCCAATTGAGGAAGCTTTTCGGGCGTTGAGCATGGACCAGCAACTTACGAACTTGTCCTGAGCTACATGTTGGAGTAGTCCTGTGCCCAGCTTGAAAACACTGACCTTAAGCTAGTATTTTAAGGCTGCCCACCAGGCCCTGGTCAGTAGAGGGCATTCTCCAGTTTCCATGGAAATTGACTGAGTTAGGCATTTATCTGGAGGAGAGGCCTCAAGAATTTAGCCTGGAGGTTATTCAACTCAAATGTTATTCCTCAACCCTATATATTAGAAGCATATAGTAATTGGGCAGCTGTTTTGGCATCGAATACTTTGGTGGCAGGTGGAATATTTAGTAAAGAGTGGCCAACTGACTAGCTTGTGCTTTCTGGAGGGCCACAGATCTATGAGTGGTCCATGTCGTTGTGCGATGGGATGTCAGCCCCAAGTATTGGAAGCTTGCCTGTCTGGTAACCATTTGCATTGGGGAAATGTCTTCTCAAAA